TTTCTACCGATTCCAATTTTGCAGCCATCAAGCCATACTCATTCTTGGGGTTCTTCTATAATAATTTGTAACCTGACTTCGGAATTATTCAAAACTGTTTTGAGTAATTGCTTAAGATCACATTCGGAAGAAAACACTTTTATTATGTCTTTAAAATGATAAGGACATCGCTCTCTTGCAAACTGTACTCAGACAATGTTAATCAGATCAAACAGTGTGCGATCACTTCACTTTTGAGCCTAACGCTGTGTGATCATTTAAAAGTAGTCTCCTTTACCTGCAACTGCACACAGGTGAGTTATCGATAATGTTCTGGTTTTTTGTTGTGACATTCTCTTACTTCATTACTTAAGCACATAAGATAGTAAAAGGAGGCACCATATATATATGCATCACACTTAATTTGATTTGTGCGAAGGTTGGAATACTGCCCGGGCGCACAAACTTAGAATAACGCGTTATTTAAAAGGTTAATAAATATCATTATATGTTGTTTTGTCTCAATGTTCTAATCCGTATGCTTACTGAAACTCACCGGTATAAACACTTTTACATATTTAGTAATAGGTTTGAATCGCCGTCCCACTATAACTCCTGGTCTTCACCTTGTGTCTCATAATTTAGTATCCAAAGCTACAATAGACCGTTAGTTTTCACTGTTTATTCATAAGCTTTCAAACCTATGTCAGTGATCATGTCCTAATAACTGTTCATAATTTACCAGGCACATCTTTTGATCTTAGTCTTCAGGCTTCAGTAATAAGGATAGGAGGTCTAGTGACCTATTTTAATCCTTGCAGTTTGTTACACTGTGGAGGTCCAATCTCGTCTTGAATATATCAACAGAAGGTGCTGATATTACGTGTTCTGGTAGAGAATTCCAGTAATTCACTACTCGGTGCGAGAAACGAAACTCCAGACGTAGACGATTTGATCTCGGTTTTTGGACTTTCTTTGAATGTCCTCTCAAATGCTCAGCCCTAGACGGGAGGAAAAGATAGGACATGTTAGTACCAAGGTCATCGTTCAGGATACGATATGCCAATATTAGATCACCCCGTATTCGCCGTAAAATAAAGGAAGTGAGTTGAGGTGTCTCAGTCTGTCGTCATAAGATAGGCTAGATAAGCCTTTTACCATTTTTGTCCCGCGGCGTTGGACTCGTTCCAACATATCCGCCTCATATTTGAAACAAGGACTCGCTGCTTGAATCCCATATTCCAAATGTGGCTGTACGAAAGTTGGGTATAATAATCCAAACATTTCCCCATCCAGATACCGGAAAGATCTACGAATAGACCATAATGCCCTATAGCCTTTTGCAGCAGCAGCCTTACAGTGACTGGTTGTTTTGGGATCATTACTTAGTATGACTCCTAAATCTTTGTAGTTTCTTACTTTGGGCAACACTAGTCCACATATTGTGTAGTGATACGAATCATCGTAGTTATTTAATTGCATCACAACACTTTTATTAGGGTTTACTTCTAGTGACCACCCATTCATCCATGCAACTAGTGAGTTAAGATCTTCCTGTAAAACTATTCTGTCTGACATACTATACATGGGTCTTCAAATCTTAATATCATCGGCGAATAGTAGGACGGATGACTTAGCTATAGCTGGTAATTCATTTATATAAAGTAAAAAGAGAAGACCTAAAATCGTGCCTTTGGGGACGCCACTTTTTACTGGTTCCCACGATGAGAGAGCCCCATTTACTCCTACCCGTTGTCTCCTTTCATGAAGAAAGTCACTTAGCCAGTCTATGACTGCATAATGAATTCCAAAACTTTCTAGTTTCAATTTAAGACCGGAATGGGAAACCTTATCAAAGGCTTTACTTAGATCTATGAATGACATCTATAGGAATATTGCGATCTTTTGCCTCAGCCCAATCTTCTCTTGCAATGAGAAGATTTGTCAAACATGATAGACCTTTTCGAAAACCATGTTGTTCCTTTGACAAAAGATCATGTCTTTCCATGTAGTTTATAACAGCCATCCTAATAATTTTTTCCATTAGTTTTACAACTGCACTAGTTAAGCTGACGGGTCGATAGTTACTAACTAAATCCCTACCCCCAGTCTTATACACCGGACTGATTATTGCGTCCTTCCAGTTTCTGGGCAATCTGGACTGCCGTAGGGACATATCGAACAGCATCGCTAAGGGTTCAGCAATAACATCTGAGAGGGCTTTCATAATCCGAGGATGAATATCATCAGGACCACTAGACTTATCAGGTTTGAGATGCTGAAGTAGGCTTAAAACAGTTTCTTTCTTAATAACTACAGGGTCCATCAACAAGTCGCCACAATCACAATGAATAGGTGATCGTTCCTCATTCTTGGTAGAAAAAACTTTACTGAAATATTCCGAAAGAGCTTCCTCTTTTTCGGTATCATTTCTTGCCAAACTTAACGGATTTTCTTGTATCAAAAGTGATGGTATTCCATCACTTCTCTGAGTTCGCCTCTTTATATACGAGAATAACCGTTTTGGACTATGTTTGCAATCCCTATCCAATTGTTTTTCGTATGACCGTCTAGTCTTACTAATTAACGCTTTACAATTATTTCTAATCTTACGATAACTAGATCTGTACTGTTCTAAGCCAGTAGAGATGAACATGTTCCAGTGTTTTTTTCTACGCCTAAGGAGTTTCTTAACTTCTTTATTTATCCACGGTGGACTATTGTTCGGTCTACGTGGCACCAAGTATGGTATAAACGGGGACGTGACTGCACTAAACTTACCTTTAAATACAGACCACGCCTCATCAACTGATGAGCTAGTATCTACTGACCAATCTATCTTAGTAGCACAATCCTGAATTTCTGGTATGTTAGCTCTCCATATGTTTGGGCGAGGCTTAATCTGATCGTATATCATATCGCTAGCTCTAAACGTGAATGATAAAACAGCGTGATCGCTATTTACTAACGGGGTAAGAATATTTAGGTTGGCAATATCCTCAATCTCATGGGTAATTACCAAGTCCAACAGAGAAGAACCTTGGTTTACACCAAAACGTGTAGATTTGGATACATGTTGTACTAATGCATGTTCCATTACTGTTTCCAAGAGCCTGCTATCAAATGAGTTTATAGAGCATTTCGTGGTCATCTCAGTCCAACTAATGTCAGGTGCATTAAAGTCTCCTAATATCAAACATCTGTTATTTGCACTCCATAGCCGAATGTGCTCTAAAATAAAGTCATCAGCTAAGCAGATTGGGCTGCGATAGATGACACCGAGTGCAAATGTACAACATCCGACAGTGAGTTCACAGCTAATGACTTCACTAGTTCCACTATCATGGGATTCGCAAACGGAGGAGCGGATATTTACACTATTGGCTATGTATAGAAGGACGCCACCTCCTTTCCTGCATCTATGTCTATCACTTCTTAAACAATGATATCCGGATAATTCTGGGGTGATATCGAAGTCATGGACTAACCAAGTTTCCGTCACAGCTACAATGAGTGGCCTTAATTTGTCCACTAATGCTCCTAGTTCATAGAACTTATGTATTGGACTACGAGCGTTGGAATATGAAACTCCTAGGGAGAACGACATATCCACACAGGCCTTGGTAGCATTCGCTTCCAAGACATGACTATTCAAAAACCGGCCAACTGGAGATTATTCTCACTGTTTTGTCGAAGGGTTTCCAGTTCAGCTATTGCTGTCTTCCCTATTATTCTATCTTCAAGAGACATATCTTGTCTTACTCGAATGTCAGAATTGTCGTGACTACGAGCGCTACTTAACAAAAGGTCACGTTGTTTCCCCGACCCTGGGATTGCCTTAAGGAGTCTACACGGTCGGGGTTGAACACTACCATCAGCCCTTTTACCTATTCTAACCAATTTTTCGACCTGAACACCTTTGGAGTTATCTGGTAATATGCTACGGATATATTCTCCGAGCCTCTCTAAGTCATGGGTGTGTCTAACCTTAGGATCTGGATCGTTAGACTCTGGCAATTTACTCACAATAATATTCGATGATATTAAATTCCTCTCAGTCGCACTAGGATGATGATCTGCCGTTCTATCAGAGTGCGATAATGCATTGAGTGACTCAGACTGTGAGTTCCTCAATGGCTTGTCAACCAAGTGTGCTTTACCAATAGCTTTTTTTCATTTCCTTTTCCTCTTTACTGCGGTCCATTTTTGGTCATTCAGGACAGCTGCATTGGGACTATTGGGGACTGTGACGGTTTTATCCAGGTCCTCAATTTCTACTAAAGATACATGATTACTCATGTCAATACCATGTGGTGATTTACTCCTCGTTTGTTGTAACGGAAGTTTCACTTTGTCATTAATTAGAGTAGGTTGTTCAGCGCGTTTTGTAACAGCACTTACAACACTGACACAGTCTTCACTGTCAGTGCTTGCGTTACTAGCGCACCCACTATCTTTCTTTTTACAGGCTAGAGCCAATAGGCTCATAGCCTCTTGAATTAATGTCGTCTTGTTAGTACAGCAGAACATACAAAGCCAGTGCTAGTTAGGCTTAGAACATCTTTTGTATGCAGCTGGACTGAGACGGGTACACATCTTGTGGAACCACTTTTTGCATTCATCGCACTGCATCCCTTCATCTACGGGGAATAAACAGTTCGGCTGTCCACATTTGAATGAACTACCAACCATTGTAATCAGATTAGGTTTAAAAAACAATATGATCACAATAATAGCACAAGCGTCAGAGTATATGCAAAAGAAGGAACCAGGAGACAAAGTTTTCAATAAAATTTCAAACCTTAACTGAATTAATTCAAGTTAAAGTAAACCAAGAATGCTTTTGATACAGCAAATACGCAAAAGCAACGATAATCACAACAAGTATGAAAGTCACTGCCCTTTTTGAAACGCGCGTCCGTTTAAATGTTTATTTTAAGTAATACGCCATTTTCTCAAATGATTTTTAGCTTGTCATGTGTTCCAAACATAACTTGTTTCAATTCTACTATTAATGACAAATGGACTTTTGCTGTCTACCTGTTGGAGTTAATCATTTTTCACTTGATGAACGGTGTAACCTAATATGTAGAATAATGAAATTGTTTATGTATTTTACTGGTCAATTCCCAGATTTATCACTCTTAAATCCTCCTCAAAATGAATCAGATAGTGAAATAAAATTGGTATGTTAACTTTCTGTTGACCAATTATTATTATTATTATTATTATTATTATTATTATTATTATTATTTTATTGAAATCATAAACCAATCAATGTCAGACGGCGATTTAAAACCAGAAGGCACTGGACACACTAGTGACTAACTTCGAGTGATAAATCTTTGGGTGCTTGTGGGAAGCCGTGACCGCCGGAGTTCAACCGTGTCGGGTGTGAGGCAGTTACTCACCTAAGACAATGTCGTGGATTGGTTGAAGTTAGACATTAACACCGTTGGATGCCGGCTCAGCGGTCCAGGAGTTAAGCGTTGTCACGCGAGACCGAAGGTCCTGAGTTCAGATCTCACATGCGTGGTCGTGGGTGCGCACTGCTGAGGAGTCCCATGCTAGAACTAAACAGCCATCCAGTGATTCCAGATTTTAAATGATGGTTTAACATTCATTGGCATATGCTTTCAATAAAGTTCAACAGTCTTCACAATCTTTTACTGACAATTATTATTTTCTACTTACCAGCAGGATAGTTTACACTCGAAGGAAGTAAAACTTTTACAATCAATTCAGGAGGTTGAATCTAATCTGTTATCATCAAAATCAGAATCTATTTTTTATTTTCTGATTATGATTGGTGGTCTACCAAGTAGTCCGAAACGAGCATTTCTCATAGATATCAATGATTTCTATCCTAAAACTATAAATGTTAATAAAACAGATATTGTTTCTTTCAGAGAATTTTTCGAATCTCTTGTACAGGTTCCGTTTTTTGATAATGTTTTTAAGTGTTCTACTCCTACACGCACTTACATATATATATGTACATCAAAAGATTTCTCATCTTCATGGTTTCTACCTCGGTTACAATTTCGTTTACCTCGGACTTGTCCTGTTCATGTATTAAAAATTGTTCCTGATTCTATAGATTCTTATAATCCTAAAGAATTACACAGAATTTTGTATGAATCACCTTCTGAACTACGATGGTATGCTTCTCCGACAGTTTTTTTCGGAGTTAAACCAAAATAAGCTTTTCTATAATCAATTATTGTTAACTGCATAGTAGTATACGAAATATTTGAATTTTCCAATCATTGTATATAATGTGTATTAGAGTCAACTGAAGTACTTGTGAGGTCAAGATTACTGTGTAGTAAGACATTCTGATTTCACTTTCACAATTATTCTTATATATGTTTACACATAGAAAAATAAAAAAAAACAATAAATGTATTATGATAATGTACAATTAATTCCTGTTTTTGATTATTTGTTAAATATGTGTTTCAACAAATCTATATGGTAGTAATAAACATCCAATTATCAATCGGACAGAAAATATAAATCCTCAGTTATGTTTTATTGCTCTCAACAATATTGTGATATTTTGTTCGAATAGTGTTATTGTCTCCATGTTGTAAAGAACGTATTTGAGAAAGAATGCACAGTGAATTTTTTTCATACTTTAGAACTCCGCTTGATTCATCTTGTTTAAACACGTTAGTGTGTCCTTATTATGTAAGAATAATGCAGTTGATCAACTTACTAGTTTGTATTACCTAAGATGAGTAAGAGATTTCATTCGTGCCCAAACATTATTTTATGCAAATTCGATCAGGAATAAAAGAAAGAAATCCTAGTAGTCGCGTCAAAGTAAAACCAATTGTTGGTCTGATCTACAAATTTAGTAAATGAGGTCGAATTAAAAAAATCATTATTTAAAGACTAGGCGACGATTTAGCCTACCTGAGTCAGTATCAAACTAATGCTCAGAAGAAACAACAAACTCAAAGAAACTAGGCAAATCTTTGGCCTTAAAAGTCTAACACTAATCTACAACCGCGCTCAGTTTTATCCTTTAAGTTGAAAAGGGTATTTTATTTGTTTGATGAAGGGTAGTTCCTCTCATTGAGTAAGAGTGCTAAAGTAATGTTACATTATGAAATGTAATACACCATGAATCATACTGGGGGAAATCGTGCAACATTTATCTTTTTCCTTCTAGTTTAAAAGTGATAAAAACAAAATACATCAATCTCAAATGTTTATATTTTTCCAATTTTCGATTATTCTGCTTTCTAACCTACCTTGAGATGTTCATAACTTACGTTATGTGTAGACAGACAGGTATTATCAACACAAAGCATGGTACAGTTATGCATTAGTATAGGTTTCTGTACCACGTTATGTGTAGCGGAATTCTAAGCGAGGTTATTGATGAAATAGTCTTCTGAATAATTTAAGCGAATAAGTTTGATTTTCTTGTCCTTCCAAATCCAAAATAATTTCTTATCAGTGGCCTTCATCAGTTGTTGTTTTAACAATAACAGTTATAGTTGGTTGATGTTTGGTTATTCTTAAGTGAAGATGAAATCCTAAAACACCTCTAATCTTCTCTGTCTACTTACTTATTTTAACTCAACGGATATCTTCAATAAACACATACTAAGAATAAATAATGATTGGAATCTGAATAGCTCTACCTCACAATTCTTCTAAGACAGAAAATTTCGGCGTAGGTGACTGAGTACATCGGTATTGCTTTATTTAAACACTACTGTACTTTGATCTATGTGACAAGCTTTAATGCCACATATCTCGTATGGTTTATTCTTTTAATCAGAAACCACGGTCCTGTGATTCTCATCACTTCTAAATTGTACTATCGTTAGTAAAGATTCATGTAATGTCAGATGACATGTTTGACGAATTATCTCAGTCTGATAAATGTACACTCACCGTATGCTATAATGAGTACATTAACCATTAAATCACTTATTCTATTTACACCACTGTAAAACAAGTCACGCTCATGGAAACCAGAGGAGTATAAGGTAACTCAGTAAGCATCACGAAAATTTATCTTTGACTGCTGTACTGAACAAGACTCCCTAGATCTGCTTTAGAGCCCAATATCATTCATAAGAGAAGCCGTTAAAAACTTGCCACTGTTTGTTTTAAAACATTGAACTCAATACTCAACCTTTTTTTAGTTAAATTAGTTGTCTACCTACAGACCGTAATTAATGATACTTCATCTTTAATCAGTTGATAAGGTCATGAATCTTCATCGACTGAGATGGTTAGGTCACGTGTTGCGTATGCCTGAACACCGATTAACACGACGCTCTATGATGACTAGTGTAGGGGATGGTTGGAAAAGAGTTAGGGGCGGCCAAACCAAAACATGGCATCAGTGCTTGAAGTCATTAACTTCTGGTCTGAACCATGTTGGCAGATGCAGACTACTTGGTTGGGGTCCGCGTGACTATCGTAACCAAGGGTTGGAGACTCTAAGTGACACGACTCAGAATCGATCACAATGGCTTGGGTGTATACACTCTTTATCTTCCCTTAAACCTTGAGATTAAAATTGCTTCATAACGTTCTTCCTTCCTATACTATATCCTTATATACAACCTATCTTTTATATACTACCACCACTGAATTAACTATTTCTATGAATCCGGTGTTCATCTTGTTGTGCTAACAAGGTATGACAACTTGGACCGATGCATAAATGTGCCTGGTCCTACGTTGTAGCTGACTGACATCTTTAATGATATGTCGGTTCCCATTCATATTGCATGTGAAATAAACTTTAAAATGTTCTTAATAGTTGAACCATTTCGGCAATATATCGTAATAAAGGAATCAAAGTCTGCAAAATACTGTAAACAAAATTGAATTCTAAGCAAAGCTGGATAATCAAATTCTTTCCTTTATTTCGATGCACCAAGTTTTATGTAGGAACCTTTGGATCCACCAAGTTTTTCTAATAGTTCAATTTTCTCAATAATAATTGGCCCTTTTTGCAACGGTTTTAGCATATCGTAAACCGTTAGTGCAGCAACAGAAACAGCTGTTAATGCTTCCATTTCTACACCTGTAGACTGACCAACTGCTTTTACTTGTGATTGTATATGAATTTTGCCTAATCTGTAACCAATGTCCACTGAAATATGTGATAATGGCACCTAGAATAAAGAATAAAAGTAGTATACTTGAAATTGCATGAAATAAGCATATTTAGTGCAATTACTGTGCTGATAATTTCTTCGAATGCTTTTTTAAGGGGTCTTAAGACAGTCAAACACCCTGTGTCAATCCATCCCCTTTATTAGTGGTTTATTTTAAAGGTAAATGATTAGCTTCAATGGCAAATAACCAAATGTAAGTCTCTGTTTATTCCCTTAGTTGTATCTGGAACTATCAGAACTCATGACTTTGTAAAATTATACTTAATCTATTTATTCTTTCAACCACAAACAATATTTTTCATCTATTCACGCTGTACTTAGCATAATTGACAGGGAAATTATATTGAAATCAAGTTTCTGAGTGTTATACATTCATACACTCTGCCAATAATTCGTGACTCCGATTTTGATACTGTTAGCGAAACTAGTTTATCCTCTTCTCTTTCATGCTCCACTAAACAGAGTAAAAACCAGTTTTTCAGATGAATCTTGCTAATGTTTACCCAGTGTGATTAATCAAAACACATTAGGTTTGCCTATTACATTTCAATAAAATTGGTAAAAGTATTTAAACCGAGCAATCTTTATTAACACAAACTTTCCTAAGAAGGTATTCAAATTTCGTAAATAATGTTCAACCGGAATAACGGGAAAGAACAGGAAATCTTAGTTTTGCTCACAGTATAGGAGTTGGAGTCACCAATTATTGGCACAGTACATGAACGTATCGATTGGCGACGGGGATTTTGGTGCGAAGAAAAAGGAAATTTAAATTATTTCGAATTCATATCAGCTAGAAATAAGGTTGATGAAAATAGGTCTCATCCCCGTCGCTACTGTTATGGAATGTGTTTTTGCATGAGGCGAAATTTCCATTGTTAAAATAGATTGATGTAATGCTAATCGATAGATGAACTCAATGAAAATTTGACGAGATCGCATAATTGACTCAGGTTTCCGAATGATTAGAAATCAAGACAAAACCACTAACCAGATGAATGGTTTTTCCATGTGATAAAATAATATGCTTACATAAAAAATATGAACACTGAACATGATAAAATGTCATAGGCGATTGGAGGAAAATAATTTGTAAATTATTCATTCGCCAATCAATTAAGACCAAATCGTTAGACCTAATCATATCACTAAAAAAACAGCTTAGATTTATCATAATACTCCTATCTACTTCAAAAAATATTTCCTCACTATCTGCATTAACGCTTATCCCTATGAATTCACTGAGATGATCTTATCTGGTGTATCGTCCACCATCAGAAATATCTCGTAAAACGAATACCTTCAACATACATCTAGTACACTGCTAAAGTCACTAATGCATGTTCAACACAATTCACCTCACTCCCTATTAAAAAGATCAAAAAAGTGCATTTGAAATGTACGATAAGTTTTCTATCATTTACAAGATGGGTTTTAGCGATTAGATAAAGCTAATTTCCCACTTATTGTCACATCCATTAATCTCAATCAACCTCATTTCGCTCATTATATCAATACACATCAGTAGTGTTGGAGACAAATTCGAATTGGAATATATTCAAGCCTTATATCGGAAAAACCTAGTAAATAGTCTCCAGAAGTCAGGCTTTCAAATCAATCGGTTCGAAATAGTCTATCCAACTCACACTATCTACTAGTTTATATGTAGGAGCCAAAGCATATGCATTAGACATATAGAAAGGAGGGTTAAAGTCCGCACCTCTTCCACAGAAGTTCAGGCTATAAGGACTGCATATTTTTAACAGTGTGATTGTACACTATTTGATTGACAGTGTACGTGATTTCGACGTCTCAAAGTTGTTCAAGATGATCAATAAAAAATGGATGCCGAAGCAGTTCCCATAAAATGATCAAGACATAGTTACCAATCTTGCTCTACCACGGTAACCTCATTTATAAATGTTAACTACGTAATTTTTCATAGCATCAATCATTATTTCTTACTTTATATCTGATCAATCTTATTTTATATTTTCAGTATTGCATAATCATAGTATTAGTCTTTCGTATCCTTCTAAAGAATCCTGTTTCTAAGCTGTTAGTTTTTCTTTTAGAATATTCGTATATCCAGCCTACAAATGTTCTTATCAGTTAACATATAAACTCTTTTATTTAATTCTTTCATGCCTTCTGGTCTTTTTAATAATTTTTCATTGATGAGGACTTTTCTTATGTTATGACATAAACTACGTATATCCTATTCTTAGTGATTAATAGTGTTAAAAGGAGTCCATGTCATTCACCAACGTTCATTATTCATGCTTTAATTAAATTAATAAATCGTCTTATATATAGTTGAGATCATGAGTCACTTAAAGCTAGACCACCATGGAAAACCTGGAAGCACTGGACGACCGTTTCGTCCTATTGTGGGACTCCTCAGCAGTGCGCATCCACGATCCCGCCTCGCGAGATTCAAACTCAGGACCTATCAGTCTCGCGCGCGAGCAATTAACCTCTAGACCACTGAGTTGGCATCCAACGGTGTTAATGTTTTAATTCAACTAATCCACAACGAAACGGCCGTCCAGTGCTTCCAGAATTTTCATGGTGGTTTAGCTTCAATTGACTCATGATCTCAACTATATAAAATAACTAAAATCTCCACAAAACCCCCTTCTGAAAATCATCTTATAGTCAAACATCCTTATGTAAAGATTCCAAGAGCTTAAATCTTCTAAACTAGTTTATTTTTTCTTTTCTTTAACTACTCATTCTAAACAACTTGAAGTTCATACTTTAAAATTATTAATTAAAATGTAAAACTTTAAATTATTTAATAGGAATAATATATATTTGTAAAATCTCAGCGAGTGAATTTGAAGTAAATCCAACGTTTCGCTTGACAATCTGGTACAAGCTTTTTCAAAGAAATATCTCCTTGAAATATTTCAATTCATGAATTCAACTATTAAAATGAAATGAGTTCAAACTATTTATTAGCTTAATAAATCTTAGATTATACTAAATTATGAATAAATATCTCCTTGAAATGTTTCCTTGAAAAAGCTTGGACCAGATTGCCAGACGAAACGTTGGATTAACTTCAAATTCATTTGCTGAGATTTTACAAATATATATTATTCCTATTTAATGTCTTACATCAACTAGGCGCCCAAATACTGTGAAACTATTCGCTCTAATTTAAACGAAAGTTTTTATATATTTAAATTATTTATTAGAACAACTCATTCAATAACTTACTTGATGACATAATGGTATAATATTAGAAGTTTGTTTAGCAGCTTGTATACCAGCTAAACGTGCCACTGTAAATACATCACCTTTTGGTGTTAATAGTTCATATAATTCATTTGTATGATTATCATCAATATGACTTTCATTATTATCATTATCATGGATAATCTTATCTGAATTATTATCTGTAATTAAACATTGATTATGAATAAATTGTTTGATATAATCATCAATACATATAAATACTTGTGCTTTAGCTGATCTAATTGTTGTCATAATATTTTGTTTCTGATTATTTCCATTTACAATTTTAGATGTAATATCAATCATTTTAGGTGAACGAGTTATTACATCACAAATTTCAATCTAAAATATGAATGAAATCAAACAAAAATTTATTTTAAATAAATAAATAAATTGAAAATGACCGTTCAATGCTTCCAGATTTTAAATGATCATCTAACTTGGATCATTTCATGAATTCAACTGATCGGACATACATTAAGGAAATCATCAATGTGCATCAAGAGGCAATCCCTAACTTGGAATCCGGAAAGGAAGCGGAAAAGAGGAAGGCCAAAGAACACATTACGCCGGGAAATAGAAGCAGATATGAAAAGGATGAATAACAACTGGAAAGGATTGCCCAGGACAGAGTTGGATGAAGAATGCTGGTGAGCGGCCTATGCTCCTCGACGAGGGGTAACAGGCGTAAGTGTTATATCTTGTGGCCGAGTGGATGAGTAGTTGATGTATGACGCGATAAGACCGCCTAACAGGGATCAGCGTATTGTCGATTGGAACAGTGACACGAAACCCGTACGAGCAGCCTAGAGTGCTAACCGGTCCTGCGATCTGCCTAACCCAGCCAGTTGAGTCCAGAACACAAATAACAGCCTCGGCAATATGGATCATTATTTACAAACATAATGGGTTTTTATACAAACCAAAGTAATCAATAACTGAGTATAACTCAAGAATCGTATGATAATAAATCAAAGATCAAAATAAAGCTCATGATAAGCGAAACACAAATATGAATCGTTTAGTTACGTAATAATTGTACAATAGGAAATAGGCATAATACAATGGTCGATAAATAATCCTTAGAGTTACCATTCATAATTCACCAGGGGATATAACAGTAAGTAAGTAAAGTAATGAATTCAACTATTAAAATGGAATGAGTTCAAACTATTTATTAGCTTAATAAATCTTATATTAAACTAAATTATGAATAAAATAAAATGATAGGGATATGTTGTTTCTTGTTACATGTAACGAATAACTCTCCAAATGTTCATAATGGTTTTTTTAATTAAATAATCACCATGCACTTGTAGGTTCAAAACGATGTAAGTTTTTTATTTTCTAAATGGTGAACAAGATATTTCTTTTGGTTCTCAGTGCTGATCGGATTCATTTAATTAAATAATAGTTTGTGAACAGTATACCAATCGTAATAAAAACCTTGATACTTTCGAGCTCTTAAAATAGATTCTTCTTTATGAGGCATTACAGATACATGGAACCTTGACCGAAATCCTTTTGGTTATCAAACAAAAGCGTTACTCAATTTTGAAGCAGCGGATACATTCCATCCAGTGTACTTGCAATGATTCGTATATTATGGGATACAAAAAAGACAATCTTCAAGTTAAATTAGTTGATATATGATTTTTATTGTGCTTTAACGTAGTGTTGTATCTAAAATTCTGGTTCAAGTCGATTTACTGAAATAGTGTGTATCATGTAATTACTTGAATTCACGTTCATTACTCCGCCTGTAGCAAGTTTAGGGTTAGTACCTATCCCAACCCTGTATAATGGAGGAGAGTTGGACATGGGGTCAGCAACTCACATTCCCTATAAAACAACCTTGCTAAAAATTTCTTACCAGAAGAAATAAACTAAAACGTTCATGTAACTGTCCTATGAAATCACTGTAAAAAGCTGAAAATTCCTCAACTTTTCTACTTTTACTTATCTCTGTGGAGGTTTTCAAAATAAATGTGTATTTGTAATATTAGTTCAACATAGGGCGATTATAAAATAGTATTGATGAAATAACAGAATCTAGGCAATGTATGTTTGTTAGCAGAGATAGCAAATATGTACATTGGCTGATCGGTGAGAAGTAATCAATACACTGTTTGTCTAATTCTGTGGTATCAATCAAATTTTACTGAAATATATCTACTAGTCTAATTGATCCAACATTCTGCGAGCTATCTGACTGATGACAATTTGCTACTTTTGATCAGCACTACAGAATAAATCAACATTAGTCACTATTCATCGATGAATCAATCCAAATACCTCAATTCTACAGAATCTTAATCGAAGCTTAGACTGCTACAGTTGGTGATGTAAGTTTAAAGTCCATAGAGACCATTAATCTTCTGAAGTTCATTGCTATGGTTCAATGATAAGTGTCAACAAGCAAATAAGTTGAGGTCCAGGTTCTCTTACTAAAATCTACTTCTTTTTCTTTCGATCGAGTAGTATAGACTGTTAGAACTAAATTATTTTTATAACTAGTCGAATTATATCCTAAACACACGTATCCTTAAGTTCAGTTATTACTTCCTGTTGTTTAACACATAAATAATAAGACAACTGAAATATGCTTGGTAAAATTTAGACCCTCTGATCTATAACATAATTATTTATATTGTTATTGAACAGCTTAGTGTATGAGTTTTCAATGCCATCGTCTTGTAGCTGTTTCGTAAAATTTATTAAATGATACTTGTAGTTTGTTTGCTAGTTATTTCCATCTCTAACCGCATGACTTGATGATTATTCACATATAAAATGACGAGTTTGGTAGTCAGTTAAACCATTGTATCTTATTTATATTATCTCAGTCAGTGGAATACTTTCAATAAACCATATAACTAAATAAATTAGAATTAAATAGTTGAATTCATGGGTCAATTGAAGCTAGAACACCATGGAAAACCTGGAAGCACTGATGAAGAATCCCATACTGGGACGAAACGGCCGTTCAGTGCTTCCAAGTTTTCCATGGTGGTCTAGTTTCAATTGATTCATGAATTCAACTATTAAATTACTAAAATCTCTACAATACCCTCTTCTGAAAGTTAGTATTAGTCAAATTATTTCAACATTACTATCCGTTATTCTCTTGTATAGATTATGATCAATTGATTTCATTATAATTGAATAAAAAACTTTAAAAGGAAAAGATAGCTCACTGGATTTTGTTGTTCTGTTGTCATACTTGATCGTGTTGATGATTTCTTTAAACTATTTGAAAAATTTGGTTCAATTGCACGTTTAAAACAATTGATCAAAGTATGATGGCTCATTTTCATATGTTAGAAAAGAAAAGTACATACAGAGTGATATATACACGAAGTTTTCTATGGTTCCTTGTAATAGAAATGATGATTATGTAAGATAAACGATTTGAACTTTCTAAAACAACAAAGAACAATCCCTTAAATATTCAAAAGCATTGAAAAGATTATCATATTCAAAATTTAAAAATGTATTGAATGATAATCTATTAACTTCTTTGGTAAAAAATTACGTAAATGGACCTAGTTTCCGTTTTGAAGATGGTTGTCATCACAAGTTGAAAAACAGGCTACAATGAACAGTCATTCCGTTGTAGTACAGCACACCTCTTTAGTTGTCGAATCCAGAACCTCCAGACCTCATTGCAAGAAGGTTACCTATAGAACAGTGACTTGGAGTACATTGGTCTACATTGCCGTGATTACGCAATACTAAAGCGTACCCATCAATCACATCACTTTTAATTATAAATGACTATAACTGTCGATAATGAAATTAAAGGTTATGATTCTAAGTGATCTTTACCGAAATGTATTCACTAAGTATATCTCTATCAAACTTAAATCTTCTTGATTATCATGACTATATCAAATTATCTAGAATCACATAGACTGGCAAGCAATTATTAAACTTTTTAGAAAGAAAATCATTAGTGTGATAAGGTTTCAATCGACATTTCATCAGTTACTAATTATAAAGTGTCTATAGTAATCTTGAGAAATATTACTGTCCTGAGATTTGCTTCCTTTTAATTTCACCATAAATCTGTTTCCACATAAATGGTTCACTATAATCTATATGTAATTCACTTATTCGATTACAAATATACAAAATAAGAGTATTTTATTTACTAAAATCTTATTTATTTATTTAATTATTTTTACACACATAAATATTGGTACAAGGGGGCACCAGATATATATGCACCACACAAATCTTATTTCATTTGTGTGAGGGCTGTGATACTGCCCAGGTGCCCAAACTGAAGCAGGTGATTTTCTTAAGGGACCTCACCCGGAGCCTTTGATCTAAAGACAGGGGGACATCGTAAGGAGATGCAGTCCCATAGTAGCCGGTGACCAACGATTGATTCATACGCCATTTGCTCCTTCAGGATACTGGAGCCCATGTGCACCACTGGTTTGGAATCAGGGTTTTCCAACTCCCCTAGGTGAACTTTCCGTGTCCACCAACCCGGTTAAAGCACCGGACATTCGGTTTTCGTCCTCTCAATTTCGTAAACAACACCCCCTCCACGAGAAGGCAGTGAGTAGGAATTCCCTGACAGAGGCTATATATTCGCGTGGTCATGTGAGAGCATTTTGAGAGGGAGAGCGGACTCTCCCCACTCTCGGCCGTACCAGGGCTTGTGACTTAAAGAAATATCAAAACAATCTGCACAGGATGTACATATGCCTATAAGAGACTGACCAGTTGCAGTCTTAAACATCAATGGGAAGGTACAAACAAATCATAATAAGTGAATTTAATCTAGATTGTATTAACATAAGTCCTGATCTATGGTTAAACGGATAGTTATTCTGATATATCTCATACTCTACCCATGTACTGACTCAACATCAAATATTAATACAACAAGTGACTTATAAAAATTACGTCTAATTCAGTTGATAAATAAATGATTTTCAATTAATAATTTCAAACATCTAAAATATCCCATCTAATAAATTCACATTAGTCCACATGACTGAAATCAATGGTCAATTAATTTATAACTTCATGTCAAGACCATGACCTAACTGCATTAAGACCTCCGTTTGCTTACATCATTCTTAAGTGACAACACATACATACAGTCTTACAGAAAACATACAACATCAAAAATAAAAAAGTATAATTATCCATTGAATATATGTTTTAATATATTTACATAAAAAGTTATTCTACACTGATTAAAAATTTTATATATGAATTATAGAATCATTGAGATTTGTTCAACCACCAATCCGAACCATTGAACGATTTACACTTGATGCAAGTTGAACAGCACCTATAGTTCATTTAAAAGAGAATGAAAGAAATAACCACTTTTAGGAAAATTCACAAATAAATCATTGATAATAAAAGGATCAAGTCAATGTTTATTAAGAGGGAAGTATGTAGAAAAGATGAATACTTCTTACTTGATGTCTTCGAAGCATTGCTGAAATATCCTGACACCATCGAGTAAGTAATGCAGTTATTAGGAAACGGGTACTAGATAAGGATGGTAAATCGATTGATGAAGTAGTGAAACTTCATCAGTTGAGATGGTTGGGACAAGTGTTACGTATGTCCAACCACCGACTGCCCTGACGTGCAATGTTTTATGGTGTAAGAGTAGGTTGGAAGAATGCTAAGGGCGGCCAGACCAAAATGTGGCACAAATCCATGAAGTCATCAACAAGTGGACTTAGCCATGTTGGTAGGTGTAGACTACGTGGTTGGGATTCGCGAGATGATAGCAATCGATGATTAGAGACCTTGAATAACATAGCTCAAAATCGTTTGCAATGGCGAAGGTGCATCCACTCTTTGTGTTCTACCAAATTCTAATCTTCTGAATTCTTCATGTCTCTATCACTTTCCTCTTTTCAAATTTATTTCACCGGATTATACTTCTTGAATAACATCTTCAAACCCTAATCTTTTGAATTACTGTTTATACTCTTACTATCTCTACCACTATGGGATTTGAATCGACTACTGTATCTCTGTGCTAATGTTGTATGGCAACTCGAACTGATGTACGTACGTACGAAGTTCTACGTCGTGACTAATTGGTGATAAAATAACCATACCTATTTTAATGACTTAAATAAGTGAATATAAATCTATAATACAATGAAATAGTCATTAAATTAATAAATTACAGTTAACTTAGTAAACGGTTTATTCAACTTTAGACTAAATCAAAATATTATTATAGTTGCATAGAAAAAAGATTAATCTTTTAAGGTGGAGGATAATTAAGTGAAATATAGGATTGATTTTGTATTAATCAAACAAATATCTAATTTGATATTGTTGTATCTCGTGGAGAATTATGAATGGTAACTTTGAGAACTATTTATGGACCAATGTAATATGTATATTTCCTATTGTATAATCGTTAAGTAACTAAACTATTCGTGTTCCTCTTATTACAAGCTTTATTTTGACCTATAGATTATTATTATACGATTTACCATTCTTGAGTTATCCCCAGTCCATTAATTACTGTTTCCCCTATTCACAGCCACATTTGGCCGAATATTGTACAAATATTATTTTCTAATTTATGGTACGATGTGGTCTGTCTGTTTGGTATATAAACCCAGTATATTTGAGAATAATGATTCATATTGCAGAGGCTGTTATTGGTGTTCTGGACTTAACTGGCTGGGCTAGGCAGATAGCAGGACTGATAAGTACTCAAGACTGCTCATACAACTTTTGTGTACCATTGGGCGATCGATAACTCACTGCTCTTCAATTGGCGGTATTATAACATCATATATACCAACTGGGCAAGAACGCAAGCAATCAATATAACAGATATTCTCAATTTACAGGTTAAATATTGTTAGAAAATAATGTTTAGTAGGTAATTCATAAAATTTTATAATAGACGGAAGATCTATTATGGTTATGTATTAATGGATTATCTTCGCCATTAAATTTGACAATTGACTTTTGATTTTTAGACAAGAGCATTATTATGAACTAATTCAAGTGGATGAGTTTTCTGGATGTGATTTTATTGAATGTAATAAATTTTTTCAGTTCAGTAACAAGTTCGTAGACATTATATGGGTAGAACATACTCATTTTATTTAGCTTTTTTCTCTTCTTATGTTCAACCCTAATTGATGCATTGATAAGGTGATTATAGTTAAAATGTATTATGAAGTTCATATTATATTGCGTTGGCCATAAGATTTGTTACCGTGCCAAGTAAGTAAGTCGAAAAAGGACAAGACAAAACCTCTCGTCGAGGAGCATAGGCCGCTCGTCAGAACTCCCCATCCAACTCTGTCCTGGGTAATCCTTTACAGTTCTTTCCAATTGCAATCCATCTTTTTCATATGTGCTTCCAATTCCCGACTCATTGTGTTCTTTGGTCTTCCTCCTTTCAGTTTCCCTTTAGGCTTCCAAGTAAGCACTTGCCTCGTGATACAGTTTGGTTATTTCCGCAGTGTATGCCCTATCTACTTCCAACACCTTTGCCTAATTTCCTCTTCAGATAGAATCTGGCTTGTTCTCTCCCACAATAAGCTGTTGCTGATGGCGATTGGCCAACAGACATTAAGTATCTTGCATAGACAATCGTTTATAAATACTTGTAGTTTTTCAATGATGGTTGTGGTAGTTCACCAAGTTTCAGCTCCGTATAACAGAGCTGTCTTGACGTTCGTATTGAACATCGTGACTTTGATATTGGTTGACTTTTGTTTTGAGTTCCATATCTTATTCATCTGTAGGAATGCTGCTCTTGTTTTTTCAATCCCTGCCTTCACATCAATGATGTTGTTCAGGTAAGTGAAAGGTTCCACCTGTTCCAGAGTTTCTCCATCAAATGTGATTGGGTTGGTGTTCCCCGTGTTGTATCTGAGGATCAAGCTTTTACTCTTGAGTATGTTGAGGCCTACTGCTGCAGTAGTTGTCTTCATCTGCATTTGTTGATGTGTACGGGATAAGAAGGCCAGATCATCGGTTCAAATCGTCTAGTTGATTCCGAGCTGTCTAGCATAAGCGAGAGCAATCACCTAATTACATATTATAACCTAATGTCTTAAATGAATTGAGATAATTTGTAAAGTTTCCTTTTCAAATCATTCTATCGTTAATAACATTTTCATTTGATCATCTTGACTTCACATTTTTAAAACAAAGTTTCTTTTACCAGAAAACAAACAACATTTGTACATGTATTTCATTTACAGATTATCATATAATGAAATACGGCAGTCAGAATGTTTGTATTATACCTATTTGGTAGATGATCAGATATCAACCTAGAAGAATTACAGAAAAACCCAATGAACTAAATCGTGTGTCATAGCTAGATTTATCGCCTTCTTGTAGTTTATCTTATTACCAGAATCAAAAAAACGAACTGACTCTGAAAATAATATCCAAATTAGTAGTAAAACGTTTATAAATGAAAATAAAATGATGTATTAGTTTATTGTTTGCAATCATATTTACCTTTGTGACTAGCAGACTTTTTACTTAAAGCTTGATCTACAATTTGATCAAGTTGATCGTAGATTTCATTTAATTGCATAGATTGTTTTAAATTATAGTTAGACTTTTCATTACACCACTCATCAATTATATGTGAATTCATTTTGTTGCGTAATATTTTCACTAAACTCACTTCATAATTATCATGTAAACAAATTTTAAGATTTCCATCAGCTGTAAGACGTAAACGTGAACATCCAGCACAAAAATTCTCAGTCATTGAAGTGATGAAACCAATCTTACCTAACCATCCTGATACTTGAAAAAGCTTTACAAAAAAAACAAAATATTAAGAACTAAATCAGAGAATATTAACAGGGAAATTGTTTTCTATCACTGAACTCAACCATCATATTACACCGATAAACATTAGTATATAATTGTATACTTTATATCACTATCCGATATTTAAGTTCAATAAGTCTTTAAAGCTTATATGACAGACTTTCTTATCCAATGAAGTAGTTAACTATAAGACGTGGATCAATGGATCATCTGTGTTACCGTTTTTGGTTTGAAAAGACTTATGGTGATTCTTAGCTCTTCTTTAGTAAATTTAAATGTTGACAATAAAAAAAACTATTATTTGTCAATTAAACTGTTACGATTGAATAGACTATTCATATAGTAAACTATAATAAATTCAATGTTTTATACCTATTAACGTATTAATACGGTTCTCGTAGAACCATTAATAGCAAACACGAGAATGGATTACTCATCATATCTTAAATGTCTTTTACTCACTTCATCTTCCAGCATAAATAGGATGTACAAAATGATCTGAGTACAGAACATAAGATCTATGACTCATTATCATGACAATCTACCATTTTTAAATAATTTGGTACTCTATTCGATCTGTGTTCAATGCTATTAGTAGTGATGCAGAAGATTTCTAGTTATGGTGAAAACTTACAATGAAGTTAAATGTTTTGAACCAGATAGTTTACTTGAGCTGACTTTTATGAAATTATAATCCAGTGAATCTCGCCCCATATTTTAGATCATTTCAATAACACATACCTTTGGGTGATATTAAGTTTCTAAAGTTGGATGATTTAATAGTGAGGCGTTCATCTTCAGCCTCGACGATATTATCAAATGCACTTCAAATAGAAGTGAGCTTACGAATTATTAAACATGCGCTAGACCAGTCTTCTGATATATATATATATATATATATATATATATATATATATATATCCACCTACTAGCTAGGACTAAATGAGGGTTATAAACCAATGCGAAAAATAAAGATTATAATTTACAGTTGATGATTAAGGCTAGGAACTAGATTTAGGGTTTTCATCAAGAACTGACATCAACTAAAATGCACAAACACTGCTTAGCCAAGTGGATGGATGAATTTCACGCCAAAATCCAACACCTGTTATTCTAAATCTGATTGGTTCGTTCATAAATTATGGTCTTGCCGATCGTATGAATAATTTTCGTTGAAATATACATTCCCGCTGCCCTCGTATGTAATTGTCAATTCAACCCACGTTAGTGAATAACGGGATTAAATAAGTCAAATACGAGGACGGATTGTCCATAAAATTATAATTTTATACGTGTAAATGTCATAATTTGATATCAACACGAACAACAATAATAATTCCACTTCAGGTGATGATATGAAATTATTGTGATAATGAGAATACAGTAATTAATATAATCATAATCTGCCAAATAGATCAGTGAGTGGGGTTGACACGAGGACAAAGTACCGATAAGATAATACGATTTTAGCATGTTCATATCACTGCTGTACTGGCTTCGCTGAATACACCATATTATAGATTGTGTCATTTGAGTTACTCGTCGACTAAGTCACCTACTTAGTTTGTTTATCGGATGCGTTGAGTTCGAGATGTTCATTGTCTGAGTCGTTTTTTCCGTTTCTTTTTTGAATCCTCTATAACGTAACACACTGATTATCGTTCACAAATGGACTGTTGCACAGATATGGTTCTTGTTCTCAATTACCCACTCTTATGATAACAGAACTTTCATATATTTGCCATCTACATTTACAGATCACAATGATATTCTCATTATATACCTTATCTGAATATACATCTTGAACTATAATAATTATAACTGGAATTATTAACTACTTATATTTGTAGATTATCAGACAGTAACAAATTCGAATACTCCAATTACTGAAAATTTATGTAACATTCTCTACATCTTTCTTGTGTGTACATGAATTTTCGACATAATAACTTTACCATTTTGCCGCCCCCAAATGCCCTGGTACAGCCGAGAGTGGGGAGAGTACGCTCTTCCTCTCTTCAAATGCTCTCACATGGCCTCGCGTATATAGACTCTGTCAGGGAAGTCCTACTCACTGCATTCTCGTGGCACCCATGTTGTTTACGAAATTGAGAGGACGAAAAGCAAATGTCCGGCGCTTTAACTGGGTTGATGGATATGGCGAGTCCACCTAAGGGAGTTGGAAAACTCTGATTCCAAACCAATGGTGCACATGGACCCCAGTAACCTGAGGGAACGAATGGCGTATGAATCAATCGTTGGTCACCGGCTACCATGAGACTGAATCTCCTTACGATGCTCAACTGCCTTGTGGATCAGATCTTTAGGTCAAATGCTAAGGGTGTGGCCCCGTAAGAAAACCACCTACTTCAGTCTGGGCACCTGGGCAGTATCACAGCCCTCACACAAATGAAATAAGATTTGTGTGGCGCATATATATCTGGTACCCTCTTGTACCAATATTTATGTGTTCAAAAAAATAAATAAATCATTATAACAATATATGTCATGAAATATTAAATATGAAGATGAAATAATTTAATGTAACATATTTATATTACTTAAATAGTTTTATACATTAAAACTAAAATATTTTGAATAATACTTACTTTTGCTATATTAAATGAGTTTTCATTTAAACAAATTAAATTTGGATAAGAATTTTTTATAATATTTAACATTTGTTTAAATGTAAATAATTTTGATAATTCCCAATGGTTACCAGAAAATGGCATATATTCAATAAATCGTACTTCAATAGGCTGAATTAATAAGAATGATGAAATGAGTATATATATGTTTATAAAAAAGAATTAATTATAAACAACATTAGACACGATAGAAATGTGGATCGGTCCAAAATGTTTACTCTTCTCATCAACAGGGCAATGGAAAACCATAGCCAAACGAGTCTTTATAACATTATTTACTGTTATTGAACTAAACAGTAAATTTATTTTGAAGAGATGAGTGAATTCACTGTAGGAAAATCATGAAATCATATGAAAATTCAAGATTTAAAGGAGTGTAAAATAGTCTGCACCATCTAGTTTTGACATTTCTGGAAATTTCAACATGATTAACTATCAGATTCTTACAGACAAACTCATATCTTAAGGGATCAGTAATTACGTGTTTGCTTGACTTAATTCTTTCCTCATTCATCGTCACTAAATAATGAAGAGAAACTGTTTCTTATCGGATACCACCCCGGTCACAAGTGGGATAATACGAGGTAGTATCTTGGGTCCTTTGCTCTTTTTAGCTTATATAAATGATATCTGCAACCGCTTTTGTATTAGTAAGGCCCTTCTAGATGCAGATGATCTTAAGGTAGTGTATTTATTTTCTAGTCATGAGCTTAACCACATATAAAACTGTATCATTATGCAGCTCAATAGGGTAGCCCAGTGGTGTTCAAACTGGAATTCGAAACTAAACACTACTTCATGTAGCTAGATTCGTTTTAGCTATCTTTTTCTCAATCTAAACTTGTCTATAAGTAGTACGTTATTATCTAGTTTTCGTGCAGTGATTGATTTAGAACTCAAGCATTCTCACACCTTGTCTTTTTCAAAAATCGTCGTTAAATGGGTTTCCAAGCCCTGGTGACTTCTGGGTTATAACAATGATTCATGCATTTTAATGTACGGAGTATATATCCAAATACTTATTGTATAATGTGATTTTATTCCTAATAGTGTTTATATAAGGCACAAAATATCTGGGATCTATTCAGCGGCCGCTCACACTTCGGATTTTTGGAAACGATTGTGCCTTAAACCATATTTCCAGATCCAACAAACTAAGACTCGACCTTTTATAGAAGAGGAGACTTACACTGAATTTAATCTTTCTTCACAATACTTAATAAGCTATCTTTTACATCCAGCACTGGAATTCAACAAGATGAAACACCCAATTATAGCACTCGCAATTCATTATCATAAATAAAACTGCTTTATTCGAATTCCGATAATCTGGAATAATTTTCTGAAACCTGTCCTTGAAATAGAATCACTCCCAACATTCGTTTATTGTTGTGATATTTAGCTCCCCTTTCATACTGCTTTAAATATATTTACACTTTTAAATAGATCACATCCCACTATTGAAATTAGAAAAAGGTTAAATATTCGATGGCTGTTATGACTGAGCGCACTCGCTAGACATTTTTTATGAAGAGATTTTACATTTACACTGTCCTTGGTAAATTTAACTGATTTAAATACCATATAACCTGATCAACAGATTATGAAACGACTTGGCATATGCATAACGGCAAATCTATCAGACTAGTGTTTGCTGTTGCTTTTCCGTGCTCTTCCTCTTGTCTTTTTTTTAGTTATTGACGACTAATAATAACTCTGTATTGACACTGGAACTAACCTTGAATACACTGTTTATACATCAGTAGGATATCCTAGTACTCCTACAAAAAATCAGTAGTTCTCAACTGATCCCCCGTGTAGTTGTAATTCCATGAGACAAATATATTACCAAAGCAATCTTGAATTACATAATTTTAAACAATTTTAAACTTTATATCTCTCCTTTACATGTAAAATTTTTTATCTGTATCAACCTGATAATGACTGTGAAATCGGTATGAATTCTGCAATTGTTTTCAGAATAAATTATTATTTATTTTCATAGTTGAAAGCGTAAGTCAATTGAAGCTAGACCACCAGGGAATACCTGGAAGCACTGGACAGCCGTTTCGTCTAGCTTCAATTGACTCACGCTTTCAACTATGAAAATACTAAATCTCCACAAAAAAACCCCTTCCGATAATATTATTTATTTGTTTGAAATCTACTTTATTTTTTTTTGATAAACAGCCTAAGACTGATTTTTATTCAGTTGCATAATTTGCATTGCTAATTATTTCATGCATATTAATAATATGCAAAAATTGTAATAAAAAGTTGGATGTGATGATTGATGTATCGTTTCATTGATAAACGTTTTAACTATCTGAAATGTTTATGTCGTGGATAATTATTCTCTTTTAAATAATCAAAACATTGAATGATTGAAACAACAAAATATCAAAGAAAGATATAAAGTACTTTGTATTGACTGTTTGAAACTTCTCATTGACGTTTAGGATTTCATTTGTTTAGTCTCTTATTGACATAAGTGCATCTTGTGTAGATTCCCTAGATATTCCCTTAAGTCATAAGGATTCTACTGCTAATCATCATCCATCTTTGACTATAATGCTTACGATTTGAGGCGACATCGAAGAAATACCCAAAGGATGCACATGTGCCAATAAGAAATTGACAAATTGCAGTCCTAAACATCAATGGGAAGATTCGAAAAACCAATATAAATAAATTAAACTTCAGTCCATTGCAATAGCCAACATCCAGCTGGACTCAGTAACTAAGTAGATAAAGCATAGGTGTTTGTAGTGAGTGGTACAGGGATCAAGTCATGGAGTGAACGCCGATTATATAGTTCAGGCAAATCAAGCTGACAAGTCCACATAGAACGAAACGCTCGTCCTGGACTTCATTGCTACCTATTATCTATCTTTGAATACAAGTTTGTGATAAAACTATCATTAACTGATACTAATCGTTTTTACAAACCATTCAATAAAATCATTCTGAGAAAAGAAATAAAATTTAATCCATACAAACATACACTTACTAAATATCGTGTCAGTTCAACAAAATCGCATAATTCATCTTCATTGAAATTTTTCATGACTACGCAATTAACCTACAAATTAAAAAAAGATTTTTGGGTGACTTTGTATCATTTGAGGATAATATTATAATAATCTCATACTGGTTAGACAACCACTGAAAGTTAAGGAGTACACGATTATTTACTACACAAAATCAAATATAGCATTGAACCTAATAATTTTAGAGTATATTAAAATAAGGAAAAAATATTAAATAGGAATAATATATTTGTAAAATCTCAGCGAATGAATTTGAATTAAATCCAATTCCTTGAAAAAGCTTGAACCAGATTGCCGAGCGAAACGTTGGATTGACTTCAAATTCATTCGCTGAGATTTTACAAATATATATTATTCCTATTTTTAATGTCTTACATCAACTCGGCGCCCAAATACTTTGAAGCTATTCGCTCTAATTTAGACGAAAGTTCTTATATAAGGAAAAAATGCTGTTCTGATGTTTAATTGATATGAGAGTCGGGTTCTATTCTGTTTTCAAATGAATTTGAGAACAATCTGATTAACTGTGAATGTATTATTACCAAGGTTAGACTTGATAATTCCAAATAAATTGAACATAAAATAGAACGTTAACAATAAAACAATGATATATTTATAATATCCAAATGAATAGAAATGAGTATTTCCGAAAGTTTCGTAACTGACCGTGAACCATGTTTTCAGAATAAATAAACAATTGAATTCGATTAGGAACTATTTATTTTATTCAGACCATATTTCTCGATCACAGTATACCTTTTTTTAGTACAACAAATAACTTAAACATCATCAGAAATAATTGGTTGTTTGAATCATCCAATTGGTGCTTATGACTGCAATTGATCAATTTCTTATTGACATATATGTATCCTGTGCAGATTGCTTCGATATTGCCTCAAGTCACAAACATTATAAGCAGAGATTGATTGTAGATAGTAGTGAAATCCTGGAGACGTGTTTATTTCTATTTAGGATTCGTCAGCTGGATTTCCATGCATCCCATAGTTGATGTCTACGGAGCTACTGAATTTAACCCTTTTCTAATAATGGCATAAATTTTATAAATGTTGAAGAAGTTAGTGGCTATCTGGAGTCCGCAGTTCAATGGACAATGAGTAGAGCATTTGACATGAAAGTAAATGAATCCCATCGGTGTGTGAACGTCAACACCGGGATGTAGCTACATCTAGGTGACGAGTCTCAAACAAGACGAAATGAGCATCATATATAATATAATTGATCACAGTCCATCTATTTTTTTAAAATGAATATATCCATCTCATAAGATTTAGCTATTCTGAACATATGGTGACTTTAATTATAAAACTGCTGAGTGGTTAATCTATATAGATAATTATAACAATACCTAACAGTCATTTAAATTAACAAAGAACTATAATTATTGTTTACGTATACTGTAGTTCTTTAGAAATCTTTACTTGTCTACTTAATTTCAATGTCGTTCTTTCCTACTTACAAGTAACAATTCAACAAATATCGATGTCTTGTTTTTTATCTCCCGTTTAGTACAAATTCTTCCTTACAGCACACTGAAAAATAATCCAGTCTAGTTATTTCATCCTTTAAAGCTACCCTGTGATTCATGGACAATATTCGGCGAAATTGTTTTCTGTATTAATGGGTGATAATATCAATGTTAACAATAGCATTAATTATACATTAATGGCCGTACCAAGTCGAGAATCTAAAGATATTACTTCCAAATATTTCTATATAAACATGATCTCAAGAGGTAATTTTGAACCTAACACATTTCGTTATTAACCATTTTTATTTACCTCAAACGTCGTCAATATTTTCAGATTGTTTTAGATTCATCAATGGAATTCAAATTCTCATGTAATTTATTCTATGTATATTGATTATAAGTAAAACTATTTTGATTAGCATCAAAATGTTTAATACAAATGTTAAGACAGTTCTATTGTACAGAGATTAAACGTGGAGAGCTACTGTAACCATCATCAAGAAAGTACAAGTATTTATCAACAATTGTCTACACAAGATACTCAATGCCTGCTGATAAGACACAATCAGCATCAACGTACTGTGGGAGAGAACAAACCAGCTCCCATCTGAAGGGGAAATTATGGAAAGACTCTGGATGTGGATAGGACATACTTTGTGGAAAGTATTAACTTGGAATTCTGAATGCCAAAAAAGATTGAAAAACACATTGTCTCTGGAATTAGAGACAGGCATCGAAAGAATGAATAGCAATTAAAAGGAACTGGAAAGGACAGCCCTGGACAGAATTGGTTAGGGATCCCTGATTGATGGCTTTTGTTCGCCGAGGAATAACAGTCCTAAGTAAGCACGTAAAACTATTAAACTGAAACGAGTTCACAACTCATTCCTTTTTATATCACCTCTTAAGATATCTTATGGTAATAGTTAACCCTAGGTGACGTGGATTAAAAAACACTTCTAAATAATAATGGATTACTTAGTTCCAAACTATTTTAATTCTAAAACCATTTAATTAGTTCCTCACATGCTTTTATGAAAAGCCTATAATATTAGTTAGTCGAAGGCAATCTTTAGGAAACCTTGCCTAAGGTTTTGTTGCAGTATTTTAAACTACTGGCTGAAAATTCTCGGTTCTATTCAAGCACGTTATATTGAATAAGGCTATTATTATTATTAAGATTACCGCACATAGATGTAATGATTTAGATGTGTCAAATGTGATATTTTGAAAAGAGACTAATTCAGTATGAAATTTACCATACTATGATCTATAGTTCCCCTAATCTTACCACTTCATAATGAAAACTCATTCAACACAGAATCATTTACTCATGGTACATTTTTTACAGACACACATCAAAAAAGATAAAAAAATAATTACATACCTTAACACTTTTAAATCCAACTTCAATTGCTTTAATTATAGCTGCCATAGAATGTTTAAATGTAGCTTGTCCTGTTAATTTTAAAATTCTTTCTGATTTTAAACTATCTAAACTTATATTCACTGAATTTAATCCAGCCATTTTCAAATTTTCCGCATATTTCTTAAATTTTACTCCATTCGTTGTCATTCCTATTTCAGTGAAATGTTTATACTCACATTTTAAATCATTCAAATGTTCTTTTTTTGTTATAATAATGAAAAAAAAGAAAATTATATCAAACTTATAATTTGAAGTAAATCTATTCGTAGTAATGGTTCACCACCGGTTAAACGAATTTTTTGTATACCACGTTGACAAAAATAATCAGCAAGAAATAAAATTTCATTTGATGTTACTATGTTCGGTAAAATGGTTTCATTCTTTGGAACATTTTTATTTGGCATACAATATGAACCTACATTTTTGTTTTATCAAAATGATAACTCTTTTAAACTTACAATTTAAATTACATTTTTCTGTTAATGATATACGTAAATAATCATGTATTCTACCATAATTATCGATGAGTTTTGAAAATTTCCTCATTTCAAAAAAAAGTATTTTAATATTGTAAATTGTAATATTGTAAATGATTATGTAATATTAAAATAATTTTGTTAGTTGTTGATTGGTTGAAATATTAACCAATCAAATTAAAGTATTGATTTGCCCATGTTATGCACTTAACAAACATTTTCAAAAACATTTAATTTTTAATATTATAAATGATTATGTAATATTGAAGTAATTTTCTTAGTTGTTGATTGGTTGAAATATTAACCAATCAAATTAAAATATGGATTTAGACATTTTATGCACTCAATATTAGATTGTTTGCATAATGTGTACATCCAGACAATCTAAATCGAAAATGTGTTAACATATATTTTGACAATATAGTTGATGTGCTAAATTGAAAAAAAATTTATTGAGTTAAGCTTTACGGTTAATCTTCAAATGGTTTATGGCTATTGGAGGTAAAAATTTTTTAATCAAGTGCAGTTCAATAAAAACGATGAATTCTGTATCAGTTTACCTACTCAATACATTAATGACATAACTATTACAGATAAACTTTTGAAACTTTTTATTTTAGGATTCTTGTTGTTTTAAATGTATAATTTGTGAATACGTGAAGGAATGAAAACATTTAACTTAACAGAGAAATGTATCTGTTTAGTCTGCAATAAATTCTAACAAAATATACATATAAATAAAGATAAATATGATGAGTATTAAAAAAACCCTAATCAAGAGAAAACAATTAAGCATACTGTGGTATGTGCTACTTATGTCGACATAAGTAGTATATAACGCTAGTCAGGAATAGAATGTCTGGCAGCAGAAGATTGAGAAGATAGAGAAGGGAGGAACAGGAAGAGTAAGCAATTGATATGGAAATAACGGAACAATGAAGTTTGAGACGATTAATGAGCATTTTGCAAATGAAGTATTGGAGTATGGTTTTCTTTATTTTATCAAGTAACTGTAAATGAGTAATTGGTTGTCATAACCGATGTTTTCCTTCATTACACCTGTTTTCCCACTATTAACTTGTACTTTTATCTATTATGCTCGGTGACGCATTCTATTTCATTGTGATTATTGACTCAAATAGCCCTGGTTGGCCTAACATTTTCGTATAAATATCCACGTATATTAGAGTAAAGCCTGATGACGATCTAATTGAAAACAATTGTTCGCTTACATGTGTTGCTCTAATAATGAATTATACGTTTTAGATAAACGTTTAATTAACATTTTCCTAAAATATTTTACTGAATTAAGTTTGTTATTCTGGTTTACCTTGTGTCATCATAAAACTAATGTGACTTTTCTCAATAGTTCAAAAATAACTGTTTAGTTACATGGTAAACATTATTCTACTAACAACTTCATACATAAATCATTAACCTATTTCTCGAATTTCGAAAGAATCAAAACAGAAAAACTAATGCTGGTAAGTCTCCTAAATGAATGCTTGTTCTGATTTTATAGTTGTAAATTGAATACAAGGGACAAGGCTGGAAGACTAGTGATAAGAATTTATTCAACTGTAAAAATAAATCGAGGTGATTTACGAATACAGCACATTTTATGTGACCTATTGACAGTTAAGCTGGTTGGAATTTTTCACGTACTTGGAAAGCATCGTCGATGAATAGGGAGTATCAGATGCAGATGAAAATGAGAGTGTTGGTAAAGCAAGGACTGCATTCCTACATATATGGAACTGAAAACAACTATCAACTAATATCAAAGTCAAAATCTTCATTACGAACGTCAAGATAGTCCTACAGTATGGAACTGGAACTTGAAGAACTACCACAACCATCATCAAGAAATTAGTTGTCTACGCAAGATACTCAATATCCGTTGGCCTCATACCATCAGAAACAACCTACTGTGGGAGAGAACAAACCAGGTTCCAGCTGAACAGGAAAATAGGAAAAGACGTTAGAAGTGAATAGGACATACATTGAGGAAATCATCAAACTGCTTCACGAGGCAAGTCCGGACTTGAAATCCTGAAGGAAAGCGAATGAGAGGATGGTTGAGGAACCCACTACGTCAGGAAATGGATGCATACATGGTAAGGGTGAATCGCAACTGGAAAGGATTACTCAGGACAGGATTGGATGGAGAGTGCTGGTGGGTGTCATTTATAATCCTTCTTAAGATGTAAAAATATGTCATATACGATTGGAGAAAGATAATTTCATATGTCAGTTATACTCTGGTTGATTAAGCTACTACTACCACTACCACTCGATGTATCAAATAATTCCTGTGTAATTTTATTATACTATCAGTAATTCTATGAAGTGGCATTTATTCTAGCCTAGAAAACAATATATTTCTTAGTCAACGAAGTCAATGTAATTTCATAGCTATATCTTTCTAACTAAAACTCATAATTGAGATTCCAAAACATTCTATGCTTTATTTGTGCGTTATAAAACAAATGTCTAGAAGTGACTTTGATATTATAGGATATGAAGATGAAATTACACTCTTTACATATTATGATTCTTGTTCAATATTACATCCGTTTTTTACTCAATAAAATATTTGTTTTAACTTCAGTGTGATACTTTATTCAGTAAAACCTTCACTTAATACAGTGTAATACTTATTCAAGATATTATATTCTTTGTATTCAATCAACATGAACCATACTCAGGATAACATGCAGCATGCAGTTTTTTAATAATTTCATACATGTAATATTTTGCTAATTATTTATTAAATCGGTGTATAGATTAGTGCATTTTCGACTACGGTTGTCGTGGTGTTTTGGAGAGAATAAATCTTCACGGCAAGTTTATACTTTATGAACGGCGCCAAGGTGACTTAGTGCGAGGAATTAGGATTTAGAGTTAGAAGTTGAAGTTAAGAATTAGAGTTAGGGTTTTCGTTACGAACTAACATCAGTTATAATACCAAAATGATATTTGACTATATGGATGAGTGAACTTCACTCCAAAATCCAAGATCTGCTATTTCTAATTTTATTGGTTAGTCTTAAAATATATAGTCCTATCAGGTTAACAATTTCTACTTTTTTAATTACATTCGTTTTTACCCATTATTTAGTCTGCTATATAACTAAATACTACATTTTGGATGAAAGTTTATACAGAACAACTGAATTTAATCATAGTGTCAGTGGTTTGCATTAATTGAGATAATAATTTTTATTAAATACGGAGATTTCGTTTAATAAGAATAATTACCAGATAATTGTATTAATGTAAACCAAGAATACTAATTCAAACATGATCTATAGACTGCTTCATTCACTAGGTGAACATCATGGTTGATTTAATTAATGCGTTTAGAGTTGTTTACAGCATACCATATCAGTTTATCATTTAACTTGTAGTGACCTACTTTTCATGACGAGAACGCGATTGGTATAATGGAAACAATTATTATTATAACCAATTGTACCAGTGATTGTTTTACTGTACTTGTTTGTTTAACTGTACCAAAGGCACTTTTCCTTCCGTTGCGAACGCTCTGCCATTTTGCCTGTAATTTTTGGCACGTCTCGGTATTCTTTCGATACCATGAAATCGCCAATAAATATATCTTATCTGGACCAATAACTGCCTTCTGGTTTTCGGACTATCGATGGATCTAGGTCGGTATCTGGCACGTAATCTTATTGTAGTGGTGATCACAGTCAATCGCGACTCGGCACCCATCTACAAACTGACATATATGTCTACAGTATTCAATTACACTCATTCGTATAGATCAATTATAGATCTATATTCAAAGAAATTTTGTGCAATAATATTTATTTTCTTGGCAGTGAATATAATAAATTAGTTAACCTAACATCGTATTTAGTAAATCAAAACAATTTACTAATGATTTACCACTCCTGTCTCAATTAGCATGTCAAAATGTAACTTGCACAAACGTGTAACTAAACGATGAAATTGAGGGAACCCACTTAGGATGGACAAACAACAAATACATCAAGTATGGTCCCAAAAAAAATGAAGAATTACGAATTGATCTTAGTAAGACCACAATTGAAAACCTGGAAGGATAGGCTGACTGTTTCGTCCCAATATAAGGCAACTCAACACGCCACACCGGCGACCTCACTACAGGGGATCGAAGCCGAAGTCCTTCGGTTTCGCGCTCTGTCATTTAAAGACCAGGCAATCTAGCCGGTATCCAGAGGTTTTAGTCTAGCTTCAGTCAATTTGCGATGTTCCTCAACCTTCATCTATCACCAGTGGTGTTTAACTTTTTCATACTCAACACAGTTGAACTCCACTAGTTATGGTTGACCACTGAAACCTTAGGAATCGAATGGTTTTCTACTTGTCTGAAATTTACAAACTCCCGATAGAGAATACTACAAAATCACCAGTACTTTCCTACTGTCTAGAAATTTTGTCACCATTTTATATAGTAGTAAATAATTATTTGGTATACCCAACCCTAATTACTAACAATGGAAACTAATAAATTCAACTTTAAAAAGAGAAACGGATGTTTATTAAACCTTAAAATAGTTTTTATTACATAATTCGTTACAAGATCTTGTTCAAGTCGTCATCAGCACAACTAGTGTATATTTTATTTTTAAGTCAAGCAAATTTAGTTCAACGTGGTATGTGTTTATGGATTAGTGTGCCGGCTTTTAACTGGGTTACAGAAAATGGTTCAACGATCATATCTTAACTATCCGGACGGAGATAGACGTAGAGTATAATCCCTGTGATTGTTATAACTAATTGTTGGAAGACATAACCAGACATCCGTCGCTCTTTACTCGAACACAACTGGTCGAGCTAGAGCCTATGGCGAACTGTCATCAGAAGTGGTTACCTCAAGTGGTGTTCGTCAGGGCTGTCCACTCTCTCTATTCTTGTTTAACTTTGTCGTTGACATGCTTTTAGAGATAACACTTGTAGCAAGCCCATTCAACTACTGTATTATTTGTGTGCTCTCTGTAATCTTAACATTAATCCACTTTGTAAATTTATTTGTGAGTCTGATTGAGCGCATGCCTGCACATCAATTCTTAATCTCTTCTCTCATTGGTTGTAAACAAAGACAATCAATAATTTATCCACAACCATTAACACTTATAAATATATATAGATTTTTAACACACACACACATGCTTGTTTTCCCGGTGTGCTTGCTTTCTGTACGCTTGCGGATTTTACCGAGCTTCATCAATAAACTATCTCTATAACTGGTGTTCAGGCTTTTGAATAATCTCGAGTAAACCCGTAATTCTACTAGGAGATTTAGCCTGCAGTAAATATTCAGTTAACGGGATATTATTTATTTGAGTCAGCTATAGAGCAATTAATCATCTACACACTTTCATCATCTCAATCTCCATGGGTTGAACTTTTACCGGGAGATTCACTTGTTGACTTAGAATACGCCGACGACATAGTTTTACTCGGTGAAGACGCTGACAACATGCAGTCTTCTAACCACTGTAAGCAACAATGCAGGCATGTTCGGAATGCGATTCTCTCCCTCGAAGTGCAAAATGTTACTTCAGGATTTGGTTGCAGCGACACCTGAACTAATGATAGGGAGTGAAGTAGTTGAGCGTGTAGACCACTTCACTTATCTTGGGAGTCTCATCAGCCCTTGTGGACTGGCATGTGACGAAATCTCGTCACGGATACAGAAGGCTCGTCTAGCTTTCGCCAACTTGCTTCATTTATGGTGTAGACGAGATATCCGTCTAGCAACAGAAGGACGAGTTTATTGTGCAGCAGTTCGTTCCGTTCTACTTTATGGCAGTGAAACACGTCCCGATAAGAGTAAAGGATATTCGTAGGCTACTAGTATTCGATCATAGGTGTCTTCGACGCATTGCTCGTGTATCCTGGGACCACCGAGCAAGCAATGCAGTTATTAGGAAACGGGTACTAGGTAAAGATGGTAAATCGATTGATGAAGTAGTGAAACTTCATCAGTTGAGATGGCTGGGACATGTGTTACGTATGCCCGACCACCGACTGCCCCGACGTGCAATGTTTCATGGTGTAGGAGTAGGTTGGAAGAAAGCTAGGGGTGGCCAGACCAAAATGTGGCACAAATCCATGAAGTCATCAACAAGTGGACTGGGCCATGTTGGTAGATGTAGACTACCTGGTTGGGATTCGCGAGATTATAACAACCGATGGTTAGAGACCTTGAGTGACATGGCTCAAAATCGTTTACAATTGCGAAGGTGCATCCACTCTTTGTGTTCTACCAAATTCTAATCTGAATTCTTCATGTCCCTATCCTTTTTCTCTTCCCAAATTTATTTCACTGGATTATACTCTTTCAATAACATCTTCAAACCCTAATCTTTTGAATTACTGTTTATACTCTTACTATCTCTACCACTATGGGATTTGAATCGACTACTGTATCTCTGTGCTAATGTTGTATGGCAACTCGAACTGATGTACGTACGTACGAAGTTCTACGTTGTGACTTACTGGATCGAAGACTAATAAGAAATTAGCCGTTGATCCAAGGTTATTAGTGCCGAAACGGATTCCGATAGGTTTCTGTCACATTGAATTAGACAGGGCCATTAAGTCGTAACACGGTGGACTTTACTCATAAGGATGTCCGTAAATAGTGCGTAGCGGGATGTGGCGTAGAATTTGTAACAATTGTCAGACGGAGTGAAGAGTTTCAATGTGTCGAAAGCACGGCTTTGGAAGAAAAACTGGAGACCAGACGTGAAGACGGCAGATGGCAGAGCACATCGAAAGATGCAAATGGACGATTGGAGGCTATGTATATATATTATGAAAATACTGTGTAACTTCTTACGATAAACACATTCCTCCTGCCTACTGTTTTGTTTTTGATAACACTTCCAAAAAATGTCGGGAATGTTCGATTATGTTCAGTTAAATATACAAAGAGCTTTTCTACAGAACTCTCCAATGTATTTATTTGATTTATATAAAAATAGCAACAATAATAAAAAATAAACTGTAGAGAAGAATGTTAGCAATCAAACTAGCAGAGAAAACATAAATACATTCAGAAACAAATGTGTACATAAACATACAAAAAACCGGGAGTAGAAAAGAGGTAGTAAATACAAAAGAAACAGCAAAAAAGGTTAAGTGTACTTTGATTCTGTTCGTTGAACTCCAGTTAAACGTCCTTTTCCCGATGATGCTAAATCAAGTGATTTCAACTCGGTAAACTGAGCATCGACAGTTAATTTTAATGCTTTAATAAACATAACCAATGAAACATTATTCGATTTTACATAATTAAGAATTGGCGATGATAATGATGATAATTCGACTTCTGGCACCACCGCTGCTGTTCCTGTTGTTGATATCGTTGAACAATGAATCGATTCATTCATACACATAGTTGATGTGCTAACATTATAAAATGATGAAGATTCATTTAGAATAGAGGAATTATTTTTATTACAGTCTGGTAGATGAATTCGACGACTATGAAGGGTAGAATTATATCGCATATCAGGGATTACTTTATTCAAATAAAATGCATACGCTAATAAAGGTAATTTGCGCAATGTACGACCATTTAAACCAAGACTGTGTTCCGCTAAACGCCATAGTTCTATACTTAGTGAATTGGCCTATAGAATAATGTGCAATAAGATATAAGTATATTGAAAACAATTAATAACGTATATTAGACAGTTTAACTATTAAGGAAAAGAAACAGCTTCTTAGCATTACCAAGTTAATTTTACTTACCTGTGAACACTTAATATCTAATGAAATCAATGGTATGATCTGTTTATTGCAATATAATTGGTGGAGAGAAATTCAAGAACTTAACCATAAGAATGTAGACACATAACTCCCTTACTAACCTACTACGAGTATGGTCTTCTCCAAATTATCATAAAATTGTTCAGTCATTAAAGTTTTCTTTTATGTAAATAGAAATTTAAACTAGTTATCCATTTAAATGTATTCACAAAACAACTGGACAATATATGCACGGCAGTCACAAATTATACAATATTCGTTAAAATTCTCTGCTAATGGACGTGATTCCTTAATAAATTGTTGAAATGTCAAAAAATGTAAGGTTAGGAGTTGTTTTATAAGAAAAATAACAACATTACAGTACAATTATATGACAGCCGTATAGATCAATATGTAACACAGCAAATAGGTTGCATTTATCGTGTGACAACTTATGCTTTATTCTACATGGGGAATTAAATTTTTTTAAAAGTTGTTTCGAGTTTGTAAGACTTTACAGGGTCATTACATGAAAGGTTACATCAATGAGCTGAAACTTTGAAACAGAAATATCTATCAGTCTTTTTTCCACTTGAGAACCGCTTGGTTCGAATTATACAGGATACCAACACACTTCACTGTTAACTATATCTTATCTAAGGCTTTGAAATCTCTATCATTTATCCATTTACCTTATAAATTAATACATTTACATAATTTAAAACATTACAAGTGGAGTCACCGGTTTAACTATTTTAATCAGACTAGAAAAACTCAATTCACAATGATTGATCATCGAGTACTGGTTAATGTCATGGTTGTCTAGTCCTTCTTGGTGCTTATCGAATGCCATCGATGCAATATGTCCATCATTCTAAATGACTCAACATCACATATACTATAATTCTGATGTTAATTGGTCCGAGATAGTCAAAAGAATACCTTGAACTATGAATATGTTTAATAAAGATATTTATTCAATGAAGCTTGATTCAAACTGTTAATGTGATTGTAATTCGAGTGACGAAGTAACACGGTTATATAGATACAGTTATCTGAAGTAAAAAAATACAACACCTAATAATATTTTTAGAAAAAATCTAGTCCTCACCTGATTTTCCATAAATTGTACAGATGCCAACGTTTGGTAACTTAATAATCGACTATCCTCTGTAGAATTTATTAATCCAACCCTAATTAATTCATATAAACAAGTGCGATAGATTGAATAAATAGCTGGTGGAGACGGCGGACCAATAAACAGACGTATATCAGCTCTGTCCAAAAATGCTGGATCTATAACACCGGTTACATTTGAAGTGGCTAATATCAAAACATTGGGGAAACGTTTAATCTGAAAAATTGTTGGATAGAGAAAGCAGAAAGAAGAACTGTTCAATGTGCTCTGAAAGAAGTTGCTAGATTTATTGTCCAAAGATAAGAAAATGATTCATCAATGCAGTATCAAATATCATATATACAGTTGATCGTTTACAATTCTATTAGAAATATTATTGAATTCATAGATTATACATCACTTAGTTTTATTTCTTTAAATAACTTGATTCATGAATTACTTGAATTTATTTTTTTAAGTTTATTAATATATTATTACAGTGTAATCGATTGTTAATTATAGTGTTTCAAAGTGACTGAATAGATGGAGGTCAATCAGACTATTTTGCTGATTGTTATAACCATATATTCACCGAGTGGATAACATCTTTCTGAATCAGTGTTTTTTGACAGCGAAAAACCAATTCCGTCTGGAGCTCCTCTGGGGCTACTACCGGTGCCGAACCCGGATAAAGGAGGAGTGTTGACAATGGGGTTAGCGACCCCATCCCGTAGAAAACTAACTCGCCTAAAAAACGCTAACCAGAAAAAATAATTCAAACTATTTAAACTCTGCCCTGAGAGTTAGGTCTTCACTTAGAAGAGCTATGACGCCTCATGGTGAAAGCCGAGTTCCTTCGGAAATCATGAGGCTGGTGCACCTTCTGACAATCAGAGCAACCATTAATTTAGGTGCATGGAATGTTCGTACAATGTGGGAGACCAGGAGAGTCATTCAGATTGCTGTAGAAGTGAAGAGATACAACCTGGAAGTGCTTGGGTTCAGTGAAACACATTGGACCAAGGTTGGACAACAACGACTAGCTTCAGGGGAGCTGTTGTTATACTCCGGCCATGAGGAAGAAAATGCTTTATACACACAAGGACTTGCACTGAAGCTATCCAAACAAGCACAAAATGCACTTATAGGATGGGAATCTAATGGACCAAGGACCATCAAAGCCTCCTTCAAAACAAAGAGAGGGCATTACAATGAACGTCATCCAATGCTATGCGCCTACCAGCGATTCCAATGAAGTTGTTAAAGATCAATTCTACCATAGGCTGCAGTCAATCGTTGAGAAATACCCAATAAAAGACTTGACCATTCTGATAGGAGACCTAAATCCCAAGGTTGGAATGGACAACACCGGATATAAAGACATCATGGAATTACATGAACTAGGAGAAAGGAACAAAAATGGCGAGAGATTTGCAAACTTATACGCCTTCAACAAACCGGTCATAGGCGGCACCATATTCCCACATAAACACACACACACAAATCCATATGGATTTCACCGGGTCACACTTTACAGAACCAAATCGACCGTATCTGCATCAATAAAAAGTTCAGGAGGACGTCAGAACCAAGAGAAGAGCTGATATAGCCTCAGATCATCACTAGCTGGTCGCCTAGATTAAACTGGAACTCAAGAAGCACTAGACACCGGGGCGGACAATATCACAAAAGTTTAACACGGCCTTTCTTCGAAATACTGACAGACTCAACAGATTCAACATAGCCCTCAGCAATAGGGTTAAGACCTTTCATGATCTACTCAATGGAGAGGAAACTACCATGCAGAACAACTGGAAAGGTATCAAGAAGGCAATCATTTCAACATGTTAGGAGGTTCTGGACCACAAAAACACCATCACAAGGAATAGGTCGTTGTTGGTGCACTGGATAAGATTGAAGAAAGGAGGAACAAGGCAGCAATCAATATCAGCCGAACAGAGAAAGCCAAGGCACAAGCCGAATACACAGAGGCAAACAAGCAAGTGAAGAGGAGCATCAGAACCGACAAACGTAAATATATGGAAGATCTAGCAATGATGGCGGAAAAGGCTGCAAGAGGGAGAAACATGAGACAACTGTATGACACAACAAAGAAACTCGCTGTAAATTACCGTAAACCAGAACGATCAGTGAAAAGAAAGGAAGACAAGTTATTCACCAACATTGAAGAACAAGAAAACAGGTGGGAAGAACACTTCAAAGAACTCTCGAATAGACCAGCTCCACTGAAACCACCCAACATCGAAGCAGCACCCACGGACCTCCCAATCGATGTTGGCTCAGCAACAACTGAAGAGATTAGTATGGTCATCAGACAAATCAAGAGCGGCAAAGCAGCAGGACCAAACAACATTCCGACAGAGTCACTGAAAGCAGATGTAGCAGCAACTGCAAAGATAATCCACATTCTCTTCAGCAAGATTTGGGATGAAGAACAAGTACCAACAGACTGGAAAGAAGTACTTCCGATCAAAATACTAAAGAAAGGCGATCTCAGCAAGTAAGAAAACTACAGAGGCATCACTCTTTTCTCAATACTAGGAAAAGTCTTCAATAGGGTGTTGTTAAACAGAATGAAGGAATCTGTACACGCCCAACTACGAGATCAACAGGCTGGATTCCGTAAGGATAGATCGTGTACAGACCAAATCGCAACTCTACGGATCATTGTGGAACAATCAACTGAATGGAACTCATCACTTTACACTAATTGCATTGACTACGAGAAAGCATTTGATAGGGTGGACAGGACAACACTATGGAGGCTTCTTCGACACTACGGCGTGCCTGATAAGATAGTCAATATTATACGGAATTCCTATGATGGACTAAACTGCCAAATCGTGCATCGAGGACAGATCACTGACTTGTTCGAAGTAAAGACAGGTGTCAAGCAAGGTTGCTTACACTCACCCTTTCTCTTTCTCCTGGTGATCGACTGGATCATGAAGACGTCAACAACTGGGGAGAAGCACGGGATACAGTGGACAGGCAGGATGCAAGTGGACGATCTAGACTTCGCAGATGGTCTGGCTTTTCTATCACACAATCAGCAACAAATGCAGAAGACGACCAATGTAGCAGCAGTCTCATCAGCAGTAGGTCTCAACAAACACAAAGGGAAAAGCAAGATTCTCCGGTACAACACAACATGCACCCATCAAATCACACTTGATGGAGAAGCTTTGGAGGATGTGGAAACCTTTACACATCCGGGTAGCATCATTGATGAACACGGTGGATCAGATGTAGATGTAAAGGCGCGGATAGGCAAAGCAGGAGCATCATATCTACAGTCGAAGAACATCTGGAACTCAAAGCAATTGTCAACCAACACCAAGATCAGAATTTTCAATACAAATGTCAAGATAGTTCTACTGTATGGGGCGGAAATGTGGAGAACTACGAAAGCCATCATCCAGGAGATACAAGTGTTTATTAACAGTAGTCTACGCAAAATACTTCGGATCCGTTGGCCAGACACTATCATCGACAACCTACTGTGGGAGAGAACAAACCAGACTCCAGTGGAGGAAGAAATCAGGAAGAAGTGCTGAAAGTAGATAGGACACACATTGAGAAGAGCAGCCAACTGTGTCACGAGGCAAGCTCACACATGGAATCCTGAAGGCCAAAGGAGAAGATTAAAACCAAAGAACACATAATGCCAAGAAATGGAAACAGATATGGGAAGAATGAACAACAACTAGATAGAACTAGAAAGGAAGGCCCAGGAGAGAGTGAAATGGAGAATGCTGGTCGTCGACCTATGCTGCATTAGGGGTAACAGGCGTAAGTTAGTAAGCAAGTTTTTTTGAAAATCAACGTTTTTAGTTGTATAAACAACTATTGATCATTGTCTCATGATAGTTGCCCCTGCTACTGCCATGGTTCATCCAATTCTGCTTGGTACCATGTAAGAATTCTCAAAAAAATACTTTGATTTTACATCTTCTTTAATTATCCATTGTTTGAAAACTTCTGATTTCCACTGACACCCAGAATTTTAATGAATGATACTAATGGTATTTATTTGTTGTTTTGAAACAAATGCTGAGAAATAATATGAACAAATGTTTTAGCTCATATTTGTACCACTAAACTATTAAAACACATGAAAATATCTCAGTCATTCAAGACGTATTGACAAAATATAGTCCTAACTACCTCATGCTCTGATCAGACTTAATTTGAAACAAGTCGGTTGGTCAATTTTTAAAAAATCAACACCAACAAACAAATCGAGATGCTATTGTGTCTCTATCACTGTATTGGTATTCAGGTTATCGGAATATATATATATATATATATATATATATATATTTCAATTCTTGTTCTGATTTAGAAAGAATCGAATGCAATACCGTGGTTATGGAAGACTAGACACAAGTAGAGCATAACAAAATACGAGTGAAAAATTTAAATGATCTAAATATAGATGAAAATTCATACGGTAGAGAACAATTTTACGTTTAAAGACTGCTTTATTTTAGATGAAAGTTCGATGAATCATACTCACTGAACTACACAGAAGTTTTCCATTTACTACTTTCTATATACTTTCTTCTATAGGTACATGCAACTTTGTAAATGAAATTGAAAGTAATCTCAAACGGTACTTTCTAAATAACTTTGTCGATAGAACCATATCAATCCCTATGAAAAAAGCCTTCAAATGAAATACAATTATTAATTCCTGTAGATCTTAAGCCAATCCACTTCGCTCTGTTCAACGTTACATCAAAGCAATCAGAATCGGTGAAACTTAGAGGGTAATCCAACTTATTATTAAACATAAATATGATAGATTAATAGAGAAGCTACTGTGTTATACCTTTTTCACTATCAACATGATAAACAAGGTGTAGAACACAAAAAGAAATATTAAAAGCATAAATCAGTTACACTTTTATTTCACTGATTTCTAATTATAAATGTGATGAATGCCAATATTCCTTGTATTCGCTTTCTTTCTACAGCCTCGTAAGGTTAACAATTGATTAACAGTTGATCAGCCTTTCCACTTAAACTAGTGAATACAACTTTTTCACAAACTATAAGCTTGTGTAACAGACTTCAATTTACTAATAACTGATTATTCACTGGGTAGTGACTAATGTCATGTGTGTTATGATGTTCTTAATGCAGACCGAATTTTATCGAACATGTTGCAATGTGACCACTAGTTTAGGTGACTCAACATCGCGTGCACTATGTTGAGATGAGGTGGTGGGTGAAGGTAATCGACTGGAAACTTTCATTTACATATGATTGTGATATTTAGAAGTGTCATTCAGGTGGAACCATACTGACAATAAATAGAAAATGATTTGAATCTGATAGTCGTTGAATAAAGGTATAGTTTGTGAATTGATGAAGCAGAGAGAATTTCAATTCTTACACATAATATATAGCAATATTGGGTTTTAAATACCATAACTTTAACGATAAACCCAAAAAATGAAAAATTTAATTTGCAAACTTATTAATCCTTCTCTAAGTAAAACTCACTTGATCAATCTGAGTTAAAACAGAATTAACAACACGAATAGCATCGCTTGGTTCACAGCCTGACATAGAAGAAGTTCGGACAGCTGTTAAACTCTCAACTTCATCAATTAATAAACATACAAGATGATCATTTGACTCTAAATATTCTTTAATTCCATCAAACATTTTTGTTACGAGACGTGCACTTTCAGAAAACCATTTCGACATTAAGTTCATTGTATTAATTTCAATTAATTGAGCTGATGAGTAACGATCAGCCATTCTTATAGCTAATTTATTAGCTAATGCTCGACATAGTGAAGTTTTGCCAGTCCCTGGAGGACCATATAACAGAATTACACGATTCCAAGAAATTACAGAGGAAGATACCTGTCAAACCAGCAAGAAAAAATCAAGTGATAACGGACTTATTAATATATAGAAGTGGAATATTATTACTGTAGTAGTATACAAACTCATGTTCTTGAAGCTGTTTGAAATAATCTTTATGTAAAACTATTACAGTATGAAACTTAAACTAATACCACCATCTGACGGTTATTTAGACTTGATATGAAAGTAAAAACAGAAGAAAGATTCAAAATAAAAGCACGGTCAGTTGTGTCAAGAAATCAAAAAGCGGAAATGGGATATAAGAGAACATTTTAAATTGAGTCATTTGCAAAGCATACGTTTCGGCCGATAAATGTTTCAATGAACAGGTATATATTAAGTACCAGTGTTATACTATATATTGTCAATTCTGAAGTTACAGTTTATTCATTTATTCTGACACTGTAACAGAATAAACATTGAAAAAACGTTTTGACTAAAAGAATAATTGAATGTTTACGTCGACAAGATCCCAATAGGAAACATATCCCGAAGGTAATATGTATTACAGGTTTGAAGTATCTGGAATGATGAAACTTAGTTAGAGCATTCGATTGATCATGAATTAGTCAACACAAAAATAATACGTTTATTCATTTTTATTTACTTAAAAACGAATATTGGCACAAGGAGGCATTAAATATGTATACGCCACAATTCGTCATTCGATTTGTGTGAAAGCTCGGATACTGCCCGGGAGCCTGAACCGAAGCAGGTGGCTTTCTTAGAAAGGCACACTCCGATCCTTTGACCTAGAGGTCTAATCCATAAGGCAGTAGAGCAACGTTAGGGGATGCAGTCCCATGGTAGCCAGTGACCAACAAGAAGTTCATACACCATTCGCTCCTTCAGGATACTGCAAACCATGTGCACCATTGGTTTGGAATCAAGGTTTTCCAACTCTCCTAGGTATATGTTCCATATCAACCAACCAGGTTAAAGAGCTGGACATTTGCTTTTCATCCTCCCAATTTTGTAAAAAACACCCTCGCCACGGGAAGGCAGTGAGTAGGACTTCCTTGGCAGTATATGTATACGCGTGGCCATATGAGAGCATTTTGAGAGGGAGAGCTGACTCTCCCTACCCTCCGCCATACCAGGGTATTAGGGGTCTAGTTGAATAATTCAAAAAACAAACTTCACATTTACATTTCAAATACTAAGTAATTATTTCTTCATTAAAAGGAGCAATCCACTCCAGTGACAAAAATATTGGGGAAGAGGAGTTAATGAGTTCCCTTTCATCGTATTCAAAAACAGTAAAACTGTATTTTATTAAATTTTAACGAACAAAAAAAAACAAATCGGATTATACGTAGATCAACTGCTCAAACCGGTTGAGTAAAAGAAACGAAACAATTATTTATAAATAAATATATAATAATAGTCGAAGCAAATAACTGACTTTTCGATCAGTAAATAATAGAGCTGTTTGTGCATATTGTAATAAATTTGATTTTATGTCTGTATCAAAAATAAGTGATTCCCAGAGACCTGACATTTCTGCTGATGGAAGTAACCATGTAGTTCCACCATTTATTGACTCTGAACCGAATTCAATTAATTCTTGAACTGGTAAAGCTTCATCTCCATTAACCATTTGATAAATATGTACTAAAATAGGTGTAATACAAAGATTAACTGATCGACCAGTATCATTATCATAAATTCCATCAGCTTCATCAAGCATTAACTAAAATTTAAGCAAATAAGATAAATGAATGATAAATAATTACAAATTTCAAATTATTATTTTTGATTATTATACAAAGGAATTTTGTAAACTTTTGATACTGTGATAGCTTCAAGTTCAATAAGCACCAATCAAATCAATAAAGTCAACTGGAGAATAACGCGAAATCCATGTGAAGAAAAATAATACTTTGTACTTTCGTGTTGTTGGTCAACAAATAATATTTATTAAGCTTTGGAAGTTTATTTGAAAACACTATTCAGTAAATCAGCATTGACAGTAGGGTCACTAAAATCTAAGGATATTTTCATGTATTTCGTGTGACCCTGGAAATAGTTAGAAAAGTACGTTACAGTTGTTTTCTTAGTTGGATTCTCAGCTAACCTCATTCTCAATCCTTCTACATCACCCGAGCTTGTGACCAACAGTTACCCTAGAGGGGTTCCATGCAGAGTGCTAACAAAGTACACTCCCAGAAACTCCTTGAACTGGATCATAGAGCTCTCGGTGATTACATAATCTAGGGAATATGGACCTTAATTACTTTTCATGATTTTTAATCCTTAATTTTACTTTTTTTTATTTGAAACACACTAATTACTATCACGGACATTACTATTATTATCAGTTTTTTAAATTTTCATCATGCGGTGTTGGTACAGTGTGGTAAAATGACCCGATGCACACCCGTATCAGGTCCTAATGTTGACCAAGAAGTTCGGCAACATACAATCCAGAATGATAAACACTATTCTACGGTATGTAGAGCCGTCTCAAAACACTGGTTATAACGGACTGAGTAGGATGTTATGTTTGATATCCCAAGGCTAGATTTATAAAATTGTAATCGACTATATAATTTCCTCACTTATTCACATTGGTTAATGGCCAGTAAATTGATGAGTCAATGATAGTGCTTGATCTAACCACTCAGGACACTTAATCAGCTCAGTCACTTCTGCGGTTATTTTACATCAGAGTAACAATGCTTAGGTATGTGTAAAATGAGTTCTCATCTACCGATAATCAAATTGTAAGAATTTCTGCTGAGATCCATAAGGAAACACCCGTGGATTGTGTCTGCGCTAAGACAGGAATATTGAATCTGACGAAGTTCATATCTACCTCGTATGCACATTATACAGGATGATTTTTAACTATTCACAAATTGAAAATCATTCAAACAATCTGTAATATCGTAGTACCGTTCAAATCAACTGCTTAGGTTATCTTAGATTTTCTGAATAATACGATGTTTAGGATTGAGAGTTAGGTACATGGGACATGCTACTCACTGATATTTTCAAATTACCATAATGGTTGGAGCTTATTTCCGTATGTACTCAGGTTACTTTGTTGATGTATATAAGATAATTTTAGAATAAGATAACAGAATTTAAGAAGTATTTTAACACTGTATAACTCAACTTACATTAATTGAAGCAACACAACTGGTAAGAACCTGATGAAATTTATTCACCTCACTATTACATGCCACTAAATTCAGTTCATTATCAAATTTGTTTAGGACAGTTGGTATGTGTCGAGGACCAAGTTGGCGTAGAAATTCTACAACGTAAGATTCAATGACAGTAAATTCTTCACAATTATACGGAGATACACAAACTTCAGCATGAACCGGTCGTAAAGAAGGATCAAATGTTAAATTCTGACGTTCACACATACTACTACTAGATAAGTTTAGACCGCACTGAATTCCACTATTGTATATATTCTCTTTATCATTTAGCGGATTCTCATCATTGTTTTGTTGCATTCCAATGACATTAGAAGTTCTCAAGCAGTTGTTCAATAATACGTTTGGTAATTCTCTTTCCATTGAATAAGCAACACTATATGATAAATAAAAATGAAATTTCTGAACGAATATATCACAAGGTATTTAGTGATAAATATAAATGCAATTTACCAACCAAACAAGAACTTTGGTCTACAGTTATTACTGTGACAGCCAATAATATCTGCTAAATCAACCATCTATGAATCCAAGAGATTTACCATTATATATTTATATATACCTATCAAAAGTGAGTAAGTCAACAATCACCCTGAGATCGACTTCGAAATGCAATGAATAAATACTCCTGAAGTTTTTTGAGGATTATTAGGTCCTTCGTGGTAAGAAAAATTCGACCAGTGTAACTACAATACTAAGTGTTCAGGATTGCAAATACAAAAACGTTAAAAAGTGACTCAGCAAATAAAATTTTAACTTCTGTGTAAATTAACAGGGAACAGAATGTATGAAACCATTAAAAAATGAATATGTCCATATTAAAAATAGCTATTTGATTTTAGATCTTTTTATGATTCATACCGACTTGAACTAGTTCTTATAGATAAGGCATTAGTACAACTCAACTCAACAACCCTTCATTTATTTTACTTGACTAGATAATTATGCCACATGAACAAATAAGAATTAATAGGAGAGAACGGTGAAATACAATTATTGATCAAAAAATCTAACTTAACATTATTTTGATTCCTGAAAGTACCATAGCAACTGTATAATCAAGCAGATAGCAAATAATTTAAATTAATCCCTCTTTTACAACCACTTAAACCTCCAATTATGAGTAAAATTTTGTTTTCTATACCCATGATTCGATTCCATTTCATGTATTGTGTCAATTACTTGTTAATTTACTTCTCGGTATTAACTTTAATGTGATCTTTTTCACACAGGACACAATTGAATGAAATAAAAGCAAAGTCAGGACACATCTTGTGAAACTGGAATTTCAATTACCGATTACTTGCAAATTATCAAAGATAACTTTTTATATTAACTACACAATATCCAACATACATCCACCTAGTTTCGCATAAAGTGTAAACGTTTATTCATGATAAATAATATTCATTATGTTCAAGCCACAATCAACGTAGAGTCCTATACTTACCATTACGTAAACTCCCGTAAACTAATACATGGCATCTGCCCTACGACGTTATTTTCCAGGAATCATACATTAGTTTCAAACATTTCATTTCGTAGTTCACTAATAGATTTGTGTATATTACTTGGTCCTATTAATTGACACTAATATGCTTAATATTCTCTTTTATTTAATTCTATCCATGAATTTCAAATAATCATACCTTTTTATATGCTAAATGAACTTTTCTGTAATAATCAAATAAAAAGATGTTCGAAAACTTTGAAGCCGCAATTTAATAGTTTGCGGTAGAACAACAATCTGATTGATTCATTTCTATACAACACGAAAGCATAGTTCAGGGATGTTTGTATGGCTAGTTGGTACATGAATGCAGTCAGTACTACAATAGTTATCTAATTCCACTGTTGTTTTTTTTACAGCCTAGTTACCCTGAATTGTCAGCTAATAATTTTGGATATATATTTTAAATAAATAAGAGGTAAACAGGGACAATTTTTAGCTTTCATATTTGGTATGCTCTTTCAGTGTTCATATCTTCAGGATCAAGATCTTCCGACCAGTATAAAAAATTTCAAGCATTCACCAAGTTTCATTGGCTATTGTATATCTGGGCTACCTGTTCCTTCCACATAGATACTTCAACAAGTTATCTAATTTTGTTTGTTTTAATATAACATTATGTTTATTAGTCGTATAACCTATTCAGGTGCGTTTCTGAAAAGTGCACAACCTTTCGTTGTACAAGTTACGAAACGCTCTATCAGAGGTATCGTGGTGGCTGGTAATATATGTGCAGCGAAAAGAATGTACATAACTTAGATGTCGATTGATTAGACTGCTAACTTCTATTTCATGATCACTCAATATTTATCGTTAGGACCGACCAAGGACTAAAAGACGAAATCGTGTTGAACTATTTTGTGCTGAGAATTCTATATTGTACCAAAAATATAATATTGAATAAAACTAATAATAATAATATGATATTTCAATCAAGCACTTATGAGAATTTAACATCAAGTACTTGTTAATTTATGTATATTGATCATAAGAATTTATACACTATGTACAAAAAGTATGAATGTCAATAGATAAGTGGAATACATGTATTGTAACTTATTTCTGAATTACTGTTTACTATGATTCAACTCTAAAAATCGTTCACACAGTGCAGAAAGACTATTAGAAGCTAGGAGTTGACATTCTGCATCTGCATCAGACAATGAACATGATTTCAACCAGCTAGAAATAGTATTTTCTATAGAGCTTTTTGTACTACCAGATAAAAAGATTGACTTCCTAAAAATCAGTTCAGGTTTAGAAGATAAGATTTCCAGTGGAGTAGTGGTGATAACTGTTCCAACGACTATATGTAGAGCACGTCGCACTGCAGGTTCAGGATGTCGATGAAATAAAGGAATTAAATTTATCAACTCGTCAGCCATTCGAGTTTGGACAGGTGAGAGACTGGAGCAAGCATAAATAGTTCCCAACGACGCCAATAAGCTGGCCAACAAACTAGCATCTTGATGAGCGAAAGGTCCTTTCACAGAAGAAAGAGATAACTGTGGAATGCTTTTTAGCAAGGGAAAGAAAAACTCTCCAGCAAAAGGAGCAAATTTATTAATAATATAGGAAGGGGGTGGGCGTTTTTTACAAAACCGACGGGTTTTTTCTTTATGATTGTTGTTAGCCATGACCGCATCATTATTGGTTATTTGGTGATTTGAAGAGAATCTTTGAGAGAGCAGTGCCTCTTTGCCCCCGTACAACTTACAGGCAATATCAGTGAGAGATGATATAATATTCATCCTTTGACCAATGGAATATCCTGATTGACAAAATTCTGAAGTCAAATAACGTGCGCATTTTTTGGGAGCAACTACACCAATAGCTACTAGAGCATCATGCCTGGCACGAGCTATCTGTCCCGGATCAGGTGTTACAGGTGGTTCAATATGAACAAGAACACGAGCGAATTCTAGTGCTAACTCTTGTGCTGCTTCCGGATGAGCGTAGATCAACTTTTCCGCAGACATTGTACATGCGATATTTACTGGGTTATCTTCAATCTTAGATAATAACATTCCATCAAGACATTCACGAAGATAAAATGGTGTTTTATTATTGCAATTTGAAGAACTAATCGAGGGGAGTGGTGTCAACGAGTCACTATCACTATCTGGATCATCATCACTGTCTAGTTTATGTACAGCTTGTTTTGCAGTTTCACAGTTTTCGTTCTTTATCTCTAAAATAACAAGAAGTAGTTGAGATATCAAAATCTCAGTAGATTGGAAAAGGTAATATTAAAAATTCAATAATAATGAACTGTAAATTAGGTGGAAAAATAAAGCTCAAAATTAATCCCAATATATTTCATGTGACAAGTGTAAAGAATATAAAGGATTTAGATGCACCAATGTCATGTAGCAAGGCGAGTGAGACAGGAAAATTAGCCTAATATGGGAGGTAGTTACACGTTAGACTGAGTTTTCGATTATATTAATATACTGATAAACAGAGTGATGTCAAATTTTGGTAAAATACTAGTGAGTATACAATCATAAGTTATATTTTATCAAGGACTGACAATACTTTATTATATATGAGTATGGATGAATGAGAGCAATTCAACGACCAAAGTAATGTAGACTCACGTACTAAACTATGAGCAAGATTTAGAGTATGTGAACTATCGATAAACACTTTCAAGGTGAAAAGCATATCAATCAAATACATAGCGATTACATACAGTATATTTAGGAAACCTTTGTTACTAATAATTTCCAATATTAACAATGTACAAAACAAAAGACAACTAAAGAGGGAATATTATTGGCTTTCATTGAGAACGATCCCAAATAGTTCCCCTGGAACTTTAACCAGGTATTCATGGTGCAGGAGTGGATGTTAGTTCAACTAAGCAACCATACTATGATATAAAGTAACCGTATCACCAACTTCTTAGTCAATAAACAAGGGTGAACATGGAGTTTGTTGAGATGGCGCAAGTAAAACTAATAGGAACCGTTATGAAATAAATTAACATAGCATGATGACCTTCTTAATATCCAAATAATATGAAACCTCCAATGTACTTAGTTTTACCGAACACGAATAACCTTAAGGACAGCAGAAATCAGCCATTGAGGATCATAAGCTCAGAGGCCATATCTTATATGTCTAGGAAAAAGAAACTGGTGACGAAGGTTTAAGCATATAGCCTTTTACAGTCAAGTGATTGTGGAGACCCTGACGGTTGCTGCTACCTTGACGTGGTGGTCAGGCTTGCCTATCGTGATGAACCATTCGAGCTATACTAACATCCTCAACTCGAAGAGGGCAGGTTTCACTAGCATAGAGCAAAACTGCTTTCACAGACGCGTTGCAGATCCGACCTTTTACAGCTAGGCTAACATCACAAAGGTGCCAAAGATGGCCCAGATTGGCATAAGCCGCTCTGGCTTTCATTATACGTGCATCAGTCTCATCACTCACGCCACCACCAGCACTTATGTAGCTACCTAGATACACGAACTTCTCAACTACTTCAATCTGCTCACCATCCAGGGTGAGTACAGGATGAGAATCCTGCCAGTCTTGTAGGAGTACTTTGCACTTTGAAGGTGCAAAGCACATACCATACCTACGGACACTGATTGACAACTGACTAAGTGCAAGTCTTGGGCATTATCGCACAGTAAGACAATATCATCCGCATACTCAAGGTCGAGAAGTCTTTCTCCAGGCAGCAGATCCACGCCGCTATTACTTACGTCCATCAGAGCTGTTTCCAAAATGTCATCGAAGGCAAAGTTGAAGAGGAATGGTGAGATTGGGCAACCCTGCCTAACCCCACTGCTTGAATGGAACAATGGAGTAACGTGGTTGTATACCCTCACTGTGCCTGAGGTGTTTGTATACAGGGCCTTTAAGATGCTGATAACCTTTAGGGGCACGCCCTTCTTCAATAGAAAATCCCAGAGGACAGTCCTGTCCAACGAATCGAAGGCAGCTCGTTTGGCTTTTGCCAATAATGACTACGTTACATAGTCGTAAAGTAGGACATAATGGACTGTTGCTCAGTATACTCGTCCTTTTATTGATAGACGGACATCTCGCCTTCGCCATAGATGACGTAAGTTGGCGAAAGCCAAACGAGCTTTCTGAATCCGTATAGAGATTTCGTCAGACACCAACCCATTAGGGCTGATCAGACTTCCAAGATAAGTGAGTTGTCGATGCATCCGACTACTCACTCACCCCCTATCCTTAGTTCAGGTGTTGACGCAGGCCAGTCCTGGAGCAACAATTTACATTTAGAGAGGGAGAAGCGCATGCCAAAAATTCTTGCATTGTTACTCAGTACTACCCAAAGACTATTCATGCTATCCGCGTATTCACTAAACAGGACTATGTCATGTGTGTATTCTAAGTCGATAAGTGAACCTCCTGGTAAGAGAAAGATTCCCGAAAATTCAGATGATGAGAGCATTATTCCCAGCAGTAGGTCTATAATGATGTTTAAGAAAAATGGTGGTAGTGAACAGCCTTACGGGACACCACTTGAGGTTATAAAATCAGATGACAGTTCGCCATAACCTCTTACTCGACTCAGTCAGTCAGTCACAACGTAGAACTTCGTACGTACGTACATCAGTTCGAGTTGCCATACCACATTACCACAGAGATGCAGTTGTCCATTCAAATCCCATAGTGGTAGAAGTAGTAGGAGTATAATCAGAAATCCAAAAGATTAGGGTTTGAAGAAATTATTGAACGAGTATAGTACAGTGAAATAAATTTGGAAAGAGAAAAAGATAAAGACATGAGGAATTCAGAAGATTAGAATTTGGTAGAACACAAAGAGTGGATACACCTTCGCCATTGCAAACGATTTTGAGCCATGTCATTCAAGGTCTCTAACCATCGGTTGCTGTCATCTCGCGAATCCCAACCAGGTAGTCTACATCTACCAACATGGCCCAGTCCACTTGTCAGTGACTTCATTGATTTGTGCCACATTTTGGTCTGGCCACCCCTAGCTTTCTTCCAACCTACTCTTACACCATGAAACATTGCACGTCGGGGCAGTCGGTGGTCGGGCATACGTAACACATGTCCCAGCCATCTCAACTGATGAAGTTTCACTACTTCATCAATCGATTTGCCATCCCTACCTAGTACTCGTTTCCTAACAACTGCATTACTTACCCGGTGGTCCCAGGATATACGAGCAATGCTTCGAAGACACCTATGATCGGACACTAGTAGCCTACGAATATCCTCTACTCTTATCGGGACGTGTTTCACTGCCATAAAGTAGGACGGAGCGAACTGCTGCACAGTAAACCCGTCCTTTGGTTGCTAGACGGATATCTCGCCTACGCCATAAATGACGCAAGTTGGCGAAAGCTAGACGAGCCTTCTGTATCCGTGCTGAGATTTCGTCACATACCAGACCACAAGGGCTGATGAGACTCCCAAGATAAGTGAAGCAGTCAACACGCTCAACTACTTCACTCCCTATCATTAGTTCAGGTGTCGCTGCAACCAAATCCTGAAGTAACATTTTGCACTTCGAGGGAGAGAATCGCATCCCGAACATGCCTGCATAGTTGCTTATAGTGGTCAGAAGACTCTGCATGTTGTCAGCGTCTTCACCGAGTAAAACTATGTCGTCGGCGTATTCTAAGTCAACAAGTGAGCCTCCTGGTAAAAGTTCAACTCCTGGAGGTTTAGCTGATGAAAGTGCTATCTCTAAAAGTATGTCAATGACAAAGTTAAACAAGAATGGGGAGAGTGGACAGCCCTGACGAACGCCACTTGTGGTAATCAGTTCTGATGACAGTTCGCCATAGGCTCTAACTCGACCAGTTGTGTTCGAGTAGAGAGCCTTTATGAGGTTAATGTACTTCTTTGGTACTCCTTTCAGTGACAAACATTGCCATAGAACCTCACGATCAACGGAGTCAAATGCCGCCTTAAGGTCAAGAAATACTACTATTGTGGGACGTCTGAATTTGTGTCTATGTTCTAGAACCTGACGTAGGGTGAATATCTGGTCTATGCAACCACGTCCAGGTCGAAAACCAGCCTGGTTTTCTCTAGTCTGCTCTTCACGAGCTTTGGTTAGGCGACCTAGTATTATTGAAGCTAATATTTTAGACACTATATTAGCCAAACTGATCCCTCTGTGATTGTCACAAGAGGACTTTTGTCCTTTCTTATAGACTGGCACAATCAGTGATTGGGACCAGTCAGATGGAATTACGTCCAGTTCCCAGATTCTACCTAAGACCTCAGTCAATCTCACTGCTAGTACTGGACCACCATCCTTAAAAATCTCAGGGGTCAACCTGTCAGGGCCTGCTGCTCTCCCTCGCTTCAGATTTCCTATAGCTTTTTCAACCTCACAGAGGGTTGGAGGACTTACATCAATTTGCCATTCAGGACGACTGGGGATCGTGGGTAATTGAAGTGTGGCTGAAGGCCAGTTGAACTGATCCTTATAGTGTTCTGTCCATCGATCCAATCTCCTGGATTGAGAATGAATAATATGCCCATCTTTATCTGAGATGGTTTCACTGATATTCGGGCTCCTAATACCGGTTTCTTTAACGAGTCTGAATAGCTGCCTACTGTTACCTATTGCCGCTGCCTTTTCCATCTTTCTTGCTTTCGCTACCCACCACTGTTCACGATAATTACGTAGGCTTCTTATTAGCCTGCGCTTAAGTTGACTCCGCTCTTCGTTATGCTCAGAGCCAGGTGGGATGAGTTTACGAGCATCTATCAGTGCGGTAGATGCTGCCGAGATCCATTGTTTCTCCCTAACGTTATGGTTTACCTTACTAGCGGATATCCCTGCTGTTTCCACAGCTTTTCGGATGTCATTCCACGCTGCCTCGGGGTGGACACAACTTACATGGCTGCCTAACTGTTTTTCTAGTTGTTCCTGAAATATATTCTTAGCTTGCCTATCATTAAGTAGAACCCTTCGAGGCTTCCCTGCAGTGTCTTTCCTACGACCAGTAAGACGCAGACAGATACGTGCTCACACTAGAGCATGATCTGAATCTAAACATGTGCTCCAGAATGAGCGACAGTCTTCTATCGAGCCCCTCCATCGGTGGCTGATAGCGATGTGATCTAATTGGGTCCAACGTTGGGACGAATTCGGGGGTCGCCATGTCAAAAGATGTTTTTCCTTATGCTTAGAGTTAGTATTTGCAAGAAATAGGTGGTTATCTGAGCATAGCTGCAACAGACGGTCGCCACTATCTGTTCTTTTCGCCATGACACCATAAGATCCACCCAAGTGTCTTTCCCTTTCACTTAGTTTACCTACTTGAGCATTAAAGTCACCTGCTACTATTACTACATCAGAACGCCTAGCTTCTCGGAGGTCAGAAAGTTTCCTGTTGAACTCATCTTTTATATGGTCTGAGCTGCAGTCAGTGGAAGAGTAGGCAGAGACGACGAATAGGCAACGACGAGTTTCCCTATCTTTCCCGGTCCTTACTGATCCGTTTAGTCGGACAGCGCATAGACGACTGTCTACTGGGATCCAGTCTAAAAGAGCTAGTTCTGCCCTAGGACTTAATGCTATACCTACTCCAGCGAGGCCACGAGAAGCAGCGTCAGGGCTTCCAGATACACGAAGCGTGTATCGAGATGGTTCTTTATTTTGATTAGGTGAGGTCAAATGAATGACACTACTCGGATCTTGTATGCACGTTTCGGAGACACAGCACACATCGATGGTGTAAGATTCTAGAGTCATAGCTAAGGAAGCCTGTTGTCCTATTTGGCACAATGTTCGGACATTAAAAGTTCCTATATGTAGTTTAGAGCGTGGTTTCAGGAGACCAAGAATAACGTTCTGTGTACTCGAATCGTTTGCCCTAGCGGTGCGAGGTGATAAAAGGACGTGGAAAGGGTTAGTCGTGGAGATAACAGAGTTATTAGGTGTAGGAAGGATTTGAAAGCGACTAACTTGGTGTTGTGTGCAGTTAAGGGTATGAGGGCTAGTATCATTTTCCGGCTGCCCACACCGTGGAAGGGTATTTCTTGAGGGACCTGAAAAAGAAGTTGGATTAGTGTTGGTCTTAACGACCTGGGAGCGTGACCGCAGTGCCCAAGGGACATCTGCTTGAGGCCGGTCACGCACGGCCTTTTTGTGGGGGATTTTTGACGTGTTAGCTCCGTTCTTCAGAAGTCCTTACCGCCGGAGACGGAAATCCGTGGGATAAGGCGAGGTGTGCATCTTTAGGGTCGACCTTTTCTAACCCCACCCCTCCTTGTGGGAAGGCAGCATCGCTGTCATGCTGGTTGTCTGAAGGAAACACCTTACTGCTTTCACACCTCTGTACAGTCAGCAGTACGACTTCGCCTTCGAACCTTGGGATTGCTGCTTTTAGTCTCACCGCTCTTCAACCGACCTGTCTGGCATGGTAGGACCTTGAGGAACGATTGTTCCAGCCAGCATAGCTCGATTGGATCATCACGATAGGCAAGCCCGACCACCACGTCAAGGTAGCAGCAACGGTTGACTAGTAGTGTTCGAGTAAAGAGGCTTCACAAGGTTTATGTACTTCTCAGGCACACCTTTCAATGAGACACTACTATAGAACCTCTCGGTCTACAGAGTCAAGTGCTGCTTTTAAGTCAAGAAAAACTATCATTGTCTGACGCCAATAAGCATGCTTGTGTTCTAAGATCTGAAGAATGGTGAATATGTGGTCGATGCAGTCACGACCAGGTCTGGAGCCAGCCTGATTTTCTCGTGTTTGAGGTTCACGAGTCTTAGTTAGGCGCCCGATAATTATTGAGGCTAGTATTTTAGATGCTATGTTAGTCAGACTAATCACATGGTGATTTTGACCCCTTTTTATATACTGGAACAATCAGTGATTGCGACTAATCAGATGGGATTACGTCCAACTCCCAGATTTTAGCTAAAATATTAGTCAACCTAGTCGCTAAAATTGGACCACCTTATTTAAATAACTCTGGAGCCAACCCATTTGGACCAGATGCTCTTCCTCATTTCAAATTAGCCATAGCCTTTTGAACTTCAACTAGAGTCGGGAGACCTACTTCAATGTTCCATTCAGACTCTTTAGGAATGGTGGGTAACTGTAGAGTAGCTGAAGGCCAGCTAAACTGTTCTCTTAAGTGTTCCGCCCATCGTCCTAAACGTCTGGGTTGACAGCAGATAAGAGTGTCGTCTTCTTCCGAGATTGTCTCGCTTACAATCGACTTCTTAATTTCGGTTTCTTTTTTTAGTCTGAAGAGTTGTCTGGTGTTGCCTACAGCCGCTGCCTTTTCCATTTCTTTTGCTTTCGTTGCCCACCACTGCTCACGATCGTTCCGTAGACTTTTGGTTAACCTAGATCTGAATTGCTTCGCTCTTCATCGTGTTCAGAGCCTGATAGGATGTGTTTGCGAGAATCCATCAGTGAAATAGACTTAGGGAAAATCCATTGGTTCTTTGGAACCCTTTGGTTTAAATTACTAACAGATGTTACTGCTGTTTTCACAGCTGTTCGTATATCCTTCCAAGCAGCATCATTCAGTCTCGTTTACACAACTGCCTAGATGTCAACTCAGTTGTTCATAGAACTTACTTTTGGCTTTCTCATCCCCCAGTTCAATCCTAATGGATCTTATTATTGTGGTTTTTATGCGTCCAGTACGAGAGACAATCTTCTATCGAGCCCCTCCAATGATGACTGGTGGCAATATGGTCTATTTCAGTCTATCGTTGGTTTGGTGCAGGTGGTTTCCATGTTAGACAATGTCTCCTTATGCTTAAAATTAGTGCTTGCTAAAAATAAACGATTGCAACAGAAGATCACCATTATCGGTTCGTTGAGCCGGAATACTAAAATACTCACCTAAATGTCTCTCTGTTTGATTTAAGCTGCCTAATTGGGCATTAAAGTCATCCGCTACGAGTGCCATGTCTGATCGCTTAGCTTTTTAAAGAAGTTTACAGAGCTTTCTGTAAAAGTCGTCCTTCACTTCATACGGGCTGCAGTCAGCGCGAGCGTAGGCAGAAACGACGGAAAGGCAACGACGTGTGTCCTTATCCTTCCGCGTTCTTACGGAGCCATTTAGTCAGACACCACATAGGCGACTGTTAACGGGAATCCAATCTAATAGTGCTTGTTCTGCCCTCGTACTAAGTGCTATACCTACACCTGCAAGTCCACGAGAACTAGTCATAGGGTCGCCAGATACACGGAGGGTGTATCTCGTCGGCTCTCCATTTTGGCGAGGTGAGGTCAAGCGAATGGCCACACTAGGATCCTGTATGCGTGTTTCGGAGACACAGCATACATCAATGGTACAAGATTCTAGGGTTTTAGCCAAGGAGGTCTGCTGGTCGATTTGACATAAGATGTGTACGTTGAAGCCTCCAATGTGTAGTTCGGAGCGAGGTTTCAGTAGACTTCGGACAGTACTTTGCTCACTAGAATCGTTGGCTATGGTGACACTTGAGGAGCAAGTTTAGTGTTGAAAATCGATGCAGGAGAAATAATAAGAATTGAAGAGGGAGATTGATTATGGATACAGTGATCTTGAGGCATGAGGGCGGTTATTACTTCGCAGTTGCTCACACCGTGGAAAGGGTTTTTCTGAAGGTACCTGAAAAGCAAATCGGATTAGAAGTGGTCTCAGTGATCTGAGAGCGTGACCGCAGTGCCCAAGGAACAACTGCTTAATGTCGGTCACACACGACCTTTTTGTGAGTAATTTTCGTGTTAGCGCCGTACTTATTGAAACCTTATCCTAAATCTTTGACTAAGGAGGACTTTACATAAAACTACTTGACTCAACACACTCAGTAAGTGGAGCTGGAAATGACTTCTGGACGACCCTTTACTTGTAAGAGAAACGCAAATTCGCATCTTATGATGCTAATGTGAGCAAATTAAATATTTCTTTCGGTTTAACAAAGTGGTAGATAACTGGAAGTTTCATCAGAAAGTTGGAGTCAACGCTCCTATTTACCACAGACTCCAAACACCCAGAGCTAAATATTGAGAATGGTAAGTAGTAAAGGTTAGTTACTACAGATGACAATCGGGAAGGTGGAAGTGATATCAAAACAACAGGGTAATATTCGTAAGCTGCTGGGTACTGGTTACTTCTCATATATTTACACAGTGGGAGATTTCTCTATAAACTACCCAGTACGAATATTCAAGAGACATCTATTTGGGGTACTTCTAAACTTTGAGTGAAAACGATAATAACTGTCACATAATTCCTGCATGACTTTTTACCATTAAAAATAACTTTCTTTACCCCTCTTGGTCCTGGACTAAAAGGGCTATATTTTACCAAGTTCCACTCTGCTAAAAAGGATTTTGTTACAAAGTATCAAAATTAGAGTGAAATAATGTCTGGTCCTTCCTAGAACATAAATACGGTATTTTCCTTAGAGCTAATATCTAAATTAACAACATTATATCTACAGCTTTTGGTTTGAAAAATCAATAGTCAAGTTTCCTGTCATGGTAGGACGTAATGAGTCTAGTTGCACGCAACTTGGATGGACTGTCAATATCAGTAACTATTATCACTCACTACACAGGTGTGTTATTCCTTAATTAGAATATTATCGAAATCGGCAGCCATTCAAGTGAGATTATGCCAAAAACGGTTATTGAAAATAAAAACTTACTACATTCAGGTGAATTAAGGGCGATTTTGGAAGACTCTATATTTGATAGTGTATGCACTGGAACTGAATTATGATCACCAGACTCAACATCGACAGCCTCATCCAGAGGAACAAAATACGGTCGAATATGGGTAAGAAAATTTAGTTCTTCATACTCAAATTTTAACTTCTGATTCTCATCACCAGGACTCCAGTTGAAAAATTTCACAATCCACTCACCTATAACCATACCAAGAGTACGAATTTCAATTCGTGGACTTCCAAGGTGGTTACTGATTCCGTTCAGAACATCAGGTAATAAATGGTCATAGGATAAGTTGATGGATAAATTAGCACGCACCGGGTTTCGAAAATCAATAATCCATGAAATCAATATTTGGGACAAATAAATGCGTCTCTCTAAGGAAGCCGTTTGTATAGAGTTTATGTCTGACCATACGCGAAGAGCAGGTAGTCCCAAATCTTCATCAACTCGGGTAGCTAAATTGGTTGATTTTTCAAGCGTTTCACACTTTGACACAGCCATGAAAAACGAGTTGAAAACGTTTCTGACGGTATTTCCAGTCTTAAACTGGCGGATGTAGAACAGACGACGACATAACCTCATATACAAGTCAAAAATAGGAGATGACGTTTCAAAAAATCCTGATAACAACGCATAATATTTTTGTGGAGTTGGACATTCCTTAGCAAGTGAAGCCAAACATATTTCCATGCTTTTTGCGCTGGTATGCAGAAGTAATTTAGACCAAATGTCCGTAGGATAATGTTGTATCTGTTCAACAATAAAATCTGTTACGTATTTCGAATACCCAGCCAAACATAGATGACTAACAATTAGTCCTAAAAGCCGATAAGTAATCTGCGATATATCGGAAACAAGTTTGAAGGCCGACAAAATGTTCTTGACAAAATGACTCTCATCAGTGAAGTAGGAGGGATTCTCACGTTTGACGTTAGCAACATAGTGAGGCACGTTAGCCAATAACCTGGCACGTGACTCCAGAAAGAATTGTGGGCTATCTGCGACAATTTCATCAAAGCAAGCAGAAATAAAATCTGGAACTCTGTTTAATTCTGAGAAAAACTTTTCTAATTCAACTAAAAGTAAATTGGCTTCTGCAGGTACAACATTGTGTGACAACATGTTGCAGGCGCATTCAAGCCAAATATCGCCTTTCGAAAACTCCGTCAAATACCCACACAATGATAACATTTCAGTCGTTGGTGAGTCGTTGACAGTCTTGAAAGCGTGGCTCATTATTTGATGGAAGTATTTGTCATAGAGCAGCTTTTCATCTTCTTTAGTAACCTTGAATCCCAATCTGTTCTGTTTTAGGGGGTAGTGTACTAAGCCTTTGATGCATTTAATAATATCCTCCTTATCTGTATTAGTAAGAAAATCGTTCACCAAATCTATCATCCCTGTGTAGCGAAGCCTTCATCCATTCGCCTTATTCAGTATCCAATACTGAAACAATAAGTCGAAAATGTGGAACTTGATAGAGTGCTGGACACCATTTTAGGATGTGAGAGAGAGAAATTCCATATTTTCTTGTCGAGACTTAATTTTGCCCAGTTTTTTTGACAATGTCGGTCATCTACCGCTGACAAATAGATTGTTCAATTCATCTACTGGCATTATAATTACCAGTCCTAATGAATGTGAATTTCGCCATGTTAATCTCCTGCTTTTTTTCCTATTTGCAACATTTGATATTATCAATTCAGTCTTTAGTAGTAATGATAGGACATTGTAGTGGTAAATAAATCCCCAATATCAATAGCTTTGTAAGTGTTGAACATTGGATGCTGACCACATTACTTTTAACTGACTCATCTAGCTGAAGGCGCTCGGTCATGCATCCGCACCAGGTCACGAGTGGAGACGCTCAACATTCCCTGGGATCATTAGCCAGATTAGATCGGTCACTTCTCGATATATTGATAAGCTATCAAATATATCATCGAACCTCCTCGCTTCTTTCTTTTAATTTCTCTTGGTGAATTCGATTCATAATAGGTGTTACTGGTAGTGTTGTCAAACTACAATACCTGTGGCATCTTCAATATTTATTTCGCATTACTCTGCCAGTCATCGTCTATCACCCAAAAAATGGCTTTACTTTCTTTCACGAAAGGATAATCCAGATTACACTGAAGATACTACAGGTATTGTAGTTTGACAACACTTGACCAGTAGCAGGTTCTATAATTGAGTCGCGCCCACCCAGTGAAATCAAAAGTCAGAAGCGAGTAGGTTGGAAGATATATTTGATTGTTTCTCAGTATATTGAGAAGTGACTGATCTAATCTAGCTAATTATCGTAGGAGATGTTTCGCACGCTGTTCTGAAACGTGATCTGGTGCGAATGCATGGCCGAGCGCCTTCCATTAAAGCTAGTGTGGTCAGCATCCAATGTCGAACACTGACGGAGCTATTGATTTCGGGGATTTGTCTATCGCTACAACACATTGGTTGCTAGGTAAGGCTGGTATGCCTCACAGTTCCCATCAAAAATCATTATAAGGTTAACCAATAGACGCTAATGCCCCTACGTATTGTCATACATTACTGAACTAAGGTGAACTAAGTTTCCTTTTGAGTACATTCAGATGACGTGTAACGTCGTCGAAAGCTAGTGCTGTATACCTCGTACTGAAATTCGTTTAGTATTCCTTTATAAACCCAATCCTTTCACTCGATGTGACCACAATATTTATCAAGATGAATTTGTACGACATTTTTAAATCGGTTATATCTACACAATCTGAATGACAATATACAGTAGAGATGAAAATGACAATTCATAACGTGGATGAAGGGATGCAGTGTGATGAATGTAAAAAGTGGTTCCACAAAATGTGTACCCGCCTTGGTGCCGCTGCATACAAAAGGTGCTTTGAGCCTAACTCGAATTGGCTTTGCATATTCTGCTGTACAAATAGGACGATACCAATCCAGGAGGCTGTGGGCCTATTAGCTTTAGCCTGTAAAAAGAACGATAGTGGTTGGGCTGGTAACATAAGTACTGACACTGAAGACTGTGTCAGTTTTGTACGTGCTGTTACAAGACGCGTTAAACGAACTACTGTGGTTGATAGAAAAGTGAAATTTCCGTTACAACTAACGGGGAGTGAATCACCACTAGATATTGACATAAGTAGTCATGCATCTCCAGTGGACTTGTTTATTTATCCATGGTGGACTATTATTAGGTCTACGTGGTACCAAGTATGGTATGAACGAGGACGTGACTGAATTAAGCTTGACTTTAAATATGGACCATGATTCTTCAACTGAATAGCTAGTATCTACTGACCAATCGTTCTTAGCAGCAAACTCCTGAATGGCTGTAGTGTTAGCTCTCCATATGTTTGGACGAGGATTAATCTGATCGTATGTCATGTCCCTAGCTCTAAACGTAGATGATAATACAGCATGATCGCTTTCCCTTAACGAAGGAAGAGTGTTTAGGTTGACAATAACCTCAGTCTTATGAGTGATTACCAAGTCCAACAGAGAATCTCGGTTTACACCAAAACGTGTAGGTTTGGATATATGTTGTAATAATTCATGCTCCATTATTGTTACCAGGATCCTACTATCAAAGGAGTTTATAGATCTTGTCGTGGTCATCTCAGTCCAGCTAATGTCAGGTGCATTGTAGTCTCCCAATACCAAGCATTTGTTATTTGCACTCCATAGCCGAAAGTGCTCTAAAATAAAGTCATCAGCTAAGTGAATTGGGCTGCGATAGATGACACCGAGTACAAATGTTCAAAATCCGATAGTGAGCTCACAGCTAATGACTTCACAAGCTCCACTATCATGGGATTCGCAAACGGAGGAGCGGATATTTATATTATTGTCTATGTATGAAAGGACGCCACTCCGTTTCCTACATCTATGTCGATCACTTCTTAAGCAGTGGTATCCGGATAATTCTGAGGTAATATCGAGGTCATGGACTAACCAAGTTTCCGTCACAGCTACAATGAGTGGCCTTAATTTGTCCACTAATGCTCCTAGTTCATAGAACTTATGTATTGGACTACGAGCGTTGGAATATGAAACTCCTAGGGAGAACGACCTATCCACACAGGCCTTGGTAGCATTCGCTTCCAAGACATGACTATTCAAAAACCGGCTAACTGGAGATTATTCTCACTGTTTTGTCGAAGGGTTTCCAGTTCAGCTATTGCTGTCTTCCCTATTATTCTATCTTCAAGAGACACATCCGGTCGCATTCGAATGTCAGAATTGTTGTGACTACGAGCGCTACTTAACAAGAGGTCACGTTGTTTCTCCGACACTGGGATTGCCTTAAGGAGTCTACACGGTCGGGGTTGAACACTACCATCAGCCCTTTTACTTATTCTAACCAATTTTTCGACCTGAACACCTTTGGAGTTATCTGGTAATATGCTACGGATATATTCTCCGAGCCCCTCCAAATCATGGGCGTGTCTAATTTGGGGATTTGGATCGTTCGACTCCAGCAAATTACTCACAATAATATTTGATGAGATTAAGTTCATCTCAGTCACGCTAGGGTGGTGTTCTGCCTTACCATCAGAGTGTTGTAGTGCACTGAGTGACTCGGAATGAGAGTTCACCAATAACTTGCCAGCTAAGTGCCTATTACCTTTCACTTTTTTCTTTTCTTTTTCTCCGTACTGCCGTCCATTTTTAATCACTCAGGACAGCCATATCGGGATTTTTTGGGATGGTGGTGATTTTAGACGCAGGAAAAAGCACTGGAATATGTTCATCTCTACTAACTTAGAACCATACAAATCCAGTAATTGTAAGATTAGGAATACTTGTAAGGCGTTAGTTAGCAAGACTAGACGGTTATATGAAAAATAATTGGTTGGGGATTGTAAATTTAGTCCTAAATGGTTATTGTCATATATAAAGTGGCGAACTCACAGAAGTGATGGAATCCCGCCACTTTTGGTACAAGAAAATCCATTAATATTAGAAGGATATTGTATCGAAAAAGCTTAAGCGATACTGTTTGATATGTCCCTGTGGCAGTCCAGATTGCCCGGAGACTGGAAAGACGCGATGATTAGTCCGGTGTATAAGGCTGAGAGTAGTGATTTAGTTAGTAACTATCGAGCCGTTAGCTTAACTAGTGCAGTTGCAAAGCTGATGGAAAAAATTATTCGGATGGCTGTTATAAACTATGTGGAAGGACAATATCTTTTATCCAAAGGGTAAGAATACATGGAGCTCTCTTATCGTAGGGACCTGTAAAAAGTGGAGTTCCCCAAGGCACAATCCTCAGCCCCCTTCTCTTTTTACTTTATGGAAATGAATTACCAACTGTAGCTAGGTCATCCGTCCTACTCTTCGCCGATGACATAAAAATTTGGAGACCCATATACAGCATGTCAGATAGAATAGTATTACAGGATGATCTCTACTGATTGGCAGCATGGATGAACGGGTGGTCACTGGAAGTGAATCCTAACAAGAGTGTGGTGATGCAACTAAGTAACTACGATGATTCGTATTACTATATAATATATGAATTTGTGTTACTCAAAGGAAGAAACTGTAAAGATTTAGTAGTCATACTAAGCAATGATCTCAAAACATCCAGACACTGTAAGGCTGCTGCTGCAAAGGGCTATAAGGTATTATGGTCTATTCGTAGATCTTTCCGGTATCTGGATGAGGTAATGTTTAGATTATTATACCCAACTTTCGTACGGCCACATTTGAAATATGGGATTCAAGCGGCGAGTCCTTGTTTCAAATATGAGGCGGATATGTTGGAACGAGTCCAACGCCGCAGGACAAAAATGGTAAAAGGCCTATCTGGCCTATCTTATGAAGACAGACTGAGACACCTCAACGTATTTCCGTTATCTTACCGGCGAATACGGGGTGATCTAATATTGGCATATCGTATCCTGAACGATGACCTTGGTACTAACATGTCCTATCTTTTCCTCCAATCTAGGGCTGATCATTTGAGAGGACATTCGAAGAAAGTCCAAAAACCGAGATCAAATCGTCTACGTCTGGAGTTTCGTTTCTCACACTGAGTAGTGAATTACTGGAATTCTCTGCCAGAAGACGTAATATCAACACCTGTTTATATATTCAAAACGAGATTGGATCTCGACAGTGTAACAAACTGCAGGGATTAATATAGGTCAATAGACTTCCTATCTTTATTACTGAAGACTGAAAGTAGACCTGAGTGAACAGTACTTTGAATTATTTTTTCTGGTCAGCGTTTTTTTATCGAGTTGGTTTTTCTACGGGATGGGGTCGCTAACCCCAAGCCCAAACCTCCTCCTTTACCCGGGCTTGGGACCGGCAGTAACTCTAGAAGAGATACAGGCGGTGTTGAGTGAACAGTAGACAACATAAAACTGGAAAAATATAAAACTCAACACGTAGTGGTAAATAGCTACTTAAAATAGTTGGTTCTGTGTACATTAAGCAGCGAGATAAACACTAATTATTGTAAAGGACACTACCAAGTATAATCAGATCACGCACTTTCATGGCATCATAAACTCCTCACATGTTTGATAATCAGCCTGGAAATCACACTTTCTTCTACGGCTTCCGAAAGTCGAACGTACCTTTACTTCCAACCATTAGCACCTTATTACATTCCCTCAGGTGGAATTGCTGAAAGTTATTCCCTACCAGTATTGTCCTATTCCGAGGTAACCAGTATATCTTATGGGAATCGCTCCAGTGTAAAATCAAGCCTTTACAAATGAGGACATCCAACAGAGTAAGAAACTGTTTGTCACTATGTAAAATATTTTATTTTAAGTCATTTAAAAGTTTATCCGCCTTTGTATTTTTCTAATTAACCACAACTGAGGTTTCCACTGTTCATGTGTAAGTTATGTTGTATACCTTGAAATAAAAGTTGTGAAAACATCTCATCAGATAATTGTGCTCAACAATGATTGTTTGTTGTACAGATTTGTGACTGAACATCGTGCTTTAAGTAGTGTTACTTTAAATCAGCTAATAATAATAGCTATGGAAACATTGGAAGTGGGAAATGAAAAGTCGCTACTTTACACCAAACGAGGTTTTAGCACATAATTCACCTGAGGACTGTTGGGTCTCGTTCCTTGGATATGTTTGGGATCTTACACCAATATGCGCACAAAACAAGGGTGAATATTGTTGACTGTATCGATTTTATTTAAGACCTTTGTAAATGAATATAATCTGAATTACATTCATTCAAGCTTGGAATAGTCATTTCATATGTTTTTCTGACTTCAGAGTTATTTCAGCTCTCATATTAATAATAGGTACTGATTGCATTCAATAAGATTTTATGTTCCGCAATATCTATCTGGAATATTTATCACAGCACTTTGAGGAATAAATGTCCATCTAAATGATTGAAAAAATATTGGTAATGCGCTAAAGTGTATTCACCAATTATAACTAAGTGTAGGATGCAGTTCAGTTATGTCTAGAAAAGTAGACAGTCCGGTGTACATTTATCGGAAAATTAAATGATTCGGTGTAAATTCGGCGTCATTTTTAACATATGGCGACAAAAGAGGATATGTCTGACTATTTGCACACGGCAGACAAAGAAAAGAACTTTTTGACTCTTTACTTTTTACTTTCTTGGGAAATATCTATTTATTTCCAGCATGTTCATTCATGTTTCCCCTTTCTGGTTTGCTTTGGCAAAAATGGATAGGCAAACAGTCATAGATTAATTTTGAATGAGGCCAAATTTGAACAAGCTGGAAGCTATTTTCCGCCTTAAAAATACAGTATTCTAGCAAGATTTCGATTGTCACTCAAGAATAACTGACCAAGAACAGACGAAACCAAATTAAAGTGAGACGAATACTGACAAAACTTAAAAAGGAAAGCTTACACTAAACTACACGTGCATTAAAAGACAATCAGCAGGCTGATCAGCCTGTTGAGATTCGAATCTCAACATTTTTGGTGATTGTGATGGGTTTTTAAATGACTACCTGGGAACTGCTTTAATGCGTCCAATGAAATTACATGGATTAAAAAATTGAGTAAAGGGAAAACACTGTCAAATGTTTTTGAAGCTATTCATGTTGACCAGTCTTTGTAGATTTGAAATTCAATTTATTGTGTTCATTTTAGGCAGCATACTTCTTCAACCGATCTTAAAGGAAGCTGGTAAAGATATATCACACTGGTTTGATGAGAAAACTGGTGACGTTCGACATCACATTGATCCAGTTACGAACTGTTACGTACCTTACACACCCTATGGTCGATTTCTTCACATACCACCACCTTATCCAACGACAGATTGGGCTACAGATTTCGGTATACCTTGGTGGAAAGACGAAAGACTTATTGTTGGGTACTTAACCAAGAAGACAAGGTTTGTACGTATTTTCAACACACTTGCGCTACTTGAACACGAAATTGAGGTTCGTTTTCCTTTTTGTACACCATTACAAATGTGCTTTAAGTTAAAAGTCAATTACTAACTCTTCCATTTGATCGAATATAAACTACTTCCTGAGCCTGATTCAGTGGCTTATTAAACAGATTAATACAAGAAGACAGTTAGCTCATTAAACATCTCTGAGTATTTATTTTGCGTTAAAACAAAGGTCTAGCATGGTAAAAAATTGAAAAAGTAGTAACCAATTTTCTTCACAGGATATACAAGGGTCAATTACTGTTTGATAAATCTCTGTTTTTATAGAAAAAAATGGTTCAAAATATTGTTCGATTCATCTTTTCAAAAACATGTCTAAGTTCAAGTCAATGTCTGCCGGAGAGACGAAAATAAGTCGGAGCCAACTTAATTCAAACCCAGTAATTATTGCCTTGAACCCTATAGAACTGTCCACTAGGCTATTAAGCGTGATGAACACCAAGATGTTCATCTGGTACGATATTTTAAATGGACAAAATGGTTTTTGTTGTTTAAACGTCGGTATTTAGGATTGGTTTTACGACCGTGTGGCCTAATTCCATCGCTACTTGCTAGATAAATAATAATTAGTCGAAAGAACAAAGGTATTATCGAGACGTCTATTCAAGTAGGTCATGTCGTGAAATTTAGTCTAAAAAGTAGGAACCACTTAATTCGTAAAAGATAATACCTATTAAGAAGGGGTCCAACGTGAGGCAGTGCAACTTAACGTACTACTATGACATCAATTTATATTACATTACATTTCTATATTATTTCCATACGACATTTTGTCCCATCAGTTCAGTGAAACACATCATCGATATCAATCTAGTGTAATATTTGTTGTGTCAACTTACTACGACTTTCGTTAATTGATAAATAATGCAGGTAAACCTGCATGTAAGTGAGTGTATTTTGTTCTCATGAAGGAATAAGAATTTTGGTATTAGGTAACGAGAAAAATCTTCATCTGCAAACGGTGTTGGTCTTCTCCGTTGTAATAAACCACAGCAACTTTCAGTTTCATACATACCACTGTTCCCGCCTCCAAGTCACAATACAAGCAATAACAATACTTATTAAATAATTTGGTTTGAGAATCTAAAGCTTAGTTCATAATGCTCTAGCATTTGAGGCAACAGGTACCAAATTTAATTATGACCGCGAAAATTAACACTGAGATTAAGGTACATCAAGCTGACTAGTTCTAAATAGGATTAAACACAGATCGCGAATCCAATTGTTATCCTCCGTTTAAGACATGACTAACTTTAGTGATAAAATTAAAACATGTTTACAATGAATATATACTAACTTGTTGATTTGATCATGCTACCTGTAAAAAATTTGCTGACTTTATTTACGATGTAAAATCTCAAACTATTTTGATTTTTCCGACTGAACAATAAGATTTCGTTTCTTAAGCTGTTTACTTCAAAAACATATCATTTTTGTTACTCCGCAGACTTTTTGTTATGTCGATGCTTTGAGAATGTGAAATTGAGCAATGTATTATTCTAAAACCTCGTCCATTTTCTTATTTTAAATACATTATTTCTTTTTTTTCTGTTGATTAGGTATGTGTTGAAGAAACTATTACAGACATTCTTGTTCGTTATTTAAAATTTAATTCACACGCTGCTTCATATACATGGAAGTATAATGGTGTTGTATTAGATATGGAGAAAAATCTTGAAGAAAATAATATTAAGGAAGAAATACAAGATATTGAAGATTTATTTATGCCTCAAATATATCTTTATTACAATGATGATTTGACTGAGGCATAATTAAGAAATAAGTCAAAAGAGTCATTTATGATCTCACACTTATTTGTACGCAACAAATATAAGTACCATTGTTTTCTTGAAAGTACATTTCCTTAGGGATTTTTATTTGATATGAAAAAAAACTGTTAACTTAAAATTTTCTTTTTCTTATGTTTTTTATTGGCTGTTATACATTTTAAAAATGGTTTTTTCGATCAGGTCTTAATAATAAGCCAAGATCCATGAAGTGGATAAAACTGAAAATTAAGCAGTAAGTCACCGATTGATTATAACTGACCGAAAGTTATGTTATATCTTTGTTATCATAATGCTATTCATTACCTCACTAATGCATCAGTAACTGAAAAATGATCATCTGATGAAATAAACAAATTCTTGCAAGGAATTCTATGGAGATAGTCAAATCTTCACAATTTAAATCGAGAACTCATCTTAGTTAGACCACCCTTTAAAAACTTTAAGCATTGGACAGTCATGTCGTCCTGGTACAGGACTTCTCAGCTGTTCATATGCACTACCCTGCATCCGATAATGAAACTGAAGATATTCGGTATCTTTCACTAACGCTTAAATTCTAGACCACTGAGCTGGCATTCACGTTCATTTTTTTCAATGTAATGGATTATCGTATTTGGAGCTTTTATCTCCCTAATATAAAATTTTCCTCCGATCTGAATTGTTGAAAATTTTTTGTTTCTATCATATTAATGTTATTCATGAATTATCATATAATCACATTCTCTCATAAAATAAACTCAAAGATTGAAGAAGTTCTACTAACCTATCTCAATACTTTTACAGAAACATTTTAGGACATCCTAGATAAAAGTACTAATGATGAACACCAGTATTATACTTACAGAATAGTTAATTGATAATTTATTCATTGATAGTTAAATGGAAATACCTTTGGGATATAGGACTCAGTGGCCGAGTGGATAACGCGATGGCGTTTGAAGCGAGGGTACTGGGTTCGAGTCCCATAGTGAACAACCTTTGGGATATGAGTTTAAAACTGTCCATTTAGGGATAAATTCAAAAATACGTACTTTGAAGCAGCATTATTATATTGTATATCCCTTAGAACTACTGCGAATATAATAAAATTATTAGGGATTAATGGTGAGAATGGTAAAGGTTACTATTTAAAGATAATAAATTGGTTGATAGGGCTACAGACTTTCGTCAGCTGAGATGAGATATGTATGTGTTACATTTGTTCAGTCACTTTCTGCTACAGATCTTAGAGTATGTTGGTATAGAAGCAGATGAAAACAATTCCATAAAGTGAATAACTGCTGTACTAAATCATATCGAGAAGTACCTAATACTCGATTAGGACAAAATGGATAACCATAATCTCCAACTTCAGACCTAAGAAGCTATGATTCGAAACAGGCTACAGTGATACAGACATATGATTGTTTTTATCTACTGTGTTTTCTATGATTTATTCCCTGTTATTGTTGAAAATACTCATCTAATTCATTTCTGTTTTATCTAAACAATCTCCTCTTCAAGTGAAATGTGACAGTTATTACTAAGACATATTTCTGACAACGTTCATATTGTTTACGACTTACTGGTAAAGATTAGCTTTTGAAACATTGATATTTCTCTCTGAATACTCTTAATTCGAGTGTTTCTCAATACAGACATCATATCATATGTAAATATTTCCAAATTAAACTAATACTATTTACTGGGATCTTTAATGATCTTTATAAATCTGAATATAAAGAACCGTATACCTATTATGTTTAGAAAAGTAATTGCGTTAAAAAAACACAACTAATCTACAATAAGAGAGGTAGAAAATTCGTTACTTTCTTTATTGGAAATACAAATTAAGCTTGTTTTTGTCATATATGACAGATGTATGAACATTAAAATTAACTACCTGTTATTTTCAAATTTTGTTTCCATATTCACCGAAGTATGAAATACACTTATACCCTATTACTAATTTGTTTTCATAATGTTAGAATGATAGATACTCTAGACAATTTAACTCCGTGCGTAAAAGTGTATTTTTTCTGTCTTGGTATAAATTTAATATAAATAAATTAAATAGTTGAGCTCGTGAGTCAATTGAAGCTAGACCACCATGGAAAACCTACAAGCTTTGGACGGCCGCTTCGTTCTAGTATGGGACTCCTAGACAGTGCGCATCCATGATCCCGCTCCGCGAGATTCAAACGCAGGACCTATCAGTCTCGCACGCGATCACTTAACATTTAGACCAATAAGTCAGCATCGAACGGTGTTAATACCTAACTTCAATTGATCCACGAAATTAAACCACCGTCCACCATTGTCTTAAATAAGTTGATTATATGTAATATATTTTTGAATGTTCTCAACAAGACGTTATTGAGGCTAATGAGATATTTCATTTATAAAACTGAATAGTGAATTGATTAGATTTTATCCACCAATGTAGTATGTAATTTGTAATAAAGTTAAGAGCTAAAGAAACGACACCAGTTGATCATATTTCAAGCTCATTTCACAAAACTAGTTAGTAAAGTCAGGTTCAAATTCTTAAAATGGATCAATAGTTTAGGCGATTCAACCACCATCGTTTAAAGCATCTATATTTGATTTATTAACACTTATTGTTCTTTTTTATTTCAAGTTGTTTCCAATCATTTCAACTTTTCTAAAGTTCTGAAATCTGATGCAAAATGACCATTTGGTGTTGATAGAAAACAGGAAGTAACATTAGTGAAACTGATGCATATATTCAGTCTACAAGCAGCGAACGCAGGGAAAAGTACAGTTTATAATATGATAATATAATGATAATATAATATCAATGAAATCTTTGTCTGTCATCAGTTTTGAAAATTGGCATCCTTATTGGTGTTTGACTATAATCAACACGCAGCTCCACTACTTTTCTGAGAACTATTTATTCTAACACTTGAATTAAGGTCACAGATGACTAATTAATGCTTAAGTGACTATGTCAACTGATGTTAGTCAGGAATATTTATTATATATCATTGTGACTAACTAGACTATAATTACGTACCTAACGAATTTAACATTTATACTCAACTCTTCAAAAACTTATCTTTCGCGTGTGGATCTTTTCATCAACCTAAATTTCGTCAGTGATAAAATGGATAATCTTGCACAAACTTAGATAATAATGATAGAACTTTGAGAATGGATGTGTTGAGCATAAAATATTTCTTTAGGACTGGTCTATATGACTTCATATTTTGATTAGTACTCTCAACAAAATTGATTAATCTAGGCATACTCTATTTTTTTCCGATTAAGTAGTATAAATACTTCAAGTTAAAAGTAGCTGGAGACAAAACATGAAATAAATGAATTTGTACTATTCTACTACAATGTTTTTACTTCAACGTATCAAGAGATTCTGAGACCCCAAAAGCTTCATCATAAAGAATGGATCCCTATCGAAACCTTTGGCAAGACTCTGGAAAAGAAGAACAAGAAAACAGCAATTAAAAATAGCCGGACAAGAATAGACAAAGTCAAGGCTTAGGCTGATTACACAGAAGCAAACAAGGAAGTAAAGAAGAGCATTAGAACTGACAAGAAGAAATACGTAGACGACCTAACAACGACAGAGGTAAACTCTGTAAGAGAAGGAAACAAGAGAAACATATTCGACATAACGAAGAAACTGACAGGGAAATATAGTAAACCAGAGGGACCGCTTAAGGACAAAGAAGGCAAGCCAACAACTGAGATTCAGGAACAGAGGGACAGGTGGACAGAGCACTTTTAAAAACCCTTGAATAAACCTACTCAACTGAGTCCACCAGACATCGAAGCAGCATACACAGACCTTCCTATAGATGTCACTCTGCCAATAACTGAAGGAATCAGGATAGCCACCAGAGAAATCAGGAGTGGGAAAGCAATAGGACCTGACTAAATACTAGTTGGATCACTGAATTCGGACATAGAAGTAATTACAAACATGCTCTACGTTCTATTCATGAAGATTTTGGAGGAAGAACAAGTGTCGACGGACTGGAAAGAAGAACACATCATCAAGATACCGAAAAAAGAAGATCTGAGCAAGTGTGAGAATTCAGCCAAAAAGGCAACACACTGCTATCGGTGCCTAAAAACTTTTCAACTGAATGTTGCTGAACCAGATGAAGGACTCAGTAGAAATCCAACTTTGAGATCAACAAGCCGGATTGCACAAGGATATGTCGTGCACAAATCGCTAAACTACGGATCATTGTTGGGCAGTCGATTTAATGGAATTCGTCACAAACATCAACGTCATTGTTTATGAGTAGTTTGAGAGCGTGGATAGGAGAACCTTATGGAACCTTCTGCGACACTATGGTGTAGCTAAGAAGATCATCAATATCATACGGAATTCATAGGACAGATTACATTGAAAAGTCGTGCATGGAGGACAGTTGACAAATGTATTCCAAGTGGGGACTGAGGTCAGACAAGGCTTTCTACTCTCCTCCTTCTTCCTTCTTCTATTGATTGGCTGGATCTGAAGAACACATCTCAAGGGAAGCACGGAATACAATGAACAGCTTGCGATTACTTAGAAGATTTGGGCTTCGAAGATAACCTGACCCTTCTATCCCATACAGACGAACAAATACAGATGAAGGCAACCAGTGAAGCAGTAGCCTCTACGCCAGTAAGCCTCAACATATAAAAAGGAAAAAGTAAGACTTTCAAATTCAACACAGAGAACCTTAACTCAATCACACTTGATGGTGAAACTCTGGAAGATGTGGAAACATTCACGTACCTGGGAAAGCATGATCGATGAACAAGAAGGATGTGATGCAGATGAAAAAGCGAGTATTGAAAAAGCAAGAGCTGCATTCCTACAATTGAAGAAAATATGGAACTCAAAACAACTGTATACAAGCCAATATCAAAGTCGCAATCTTCAATACGAACGTCAAGACAGTCCTACTGTAAGGAACTGAAACTTGGGAACTACTAAAACCATCATCAAAAATGTGCAAGTATTTATAAATAGTTGTCTACTCAAGATACTCAATATCCGTTGGCCAGATACCATCAACAATATCCTACTGTGAGAGAGCAAATTAGTTTCAATCTAAAGAGGAAATTTGTAAAAGACGATGGAGGTGGATTGGACATATATTGCGGAAACTACCAAACTGCATCACGAGGCATTTGCTTACTTGAAATTCTGAAGATAAACCGAAAAGTGGAAGGCCGAATAACACACTGAGTCTGTAATTGTAAGCATACATTAGATGGATGAATAACAACTGGAAAGGATAGATTTGGATATAGAATGTTGGTGGTCGTTAATAAATTTTAACTTCTATTGAATTTTGATCGGAAATATTTTATCAACGCATTATGATTATTATTGTTCCTTTAAAATAAATCTCAAAAGGTAGAAGTCATCAATCAAGTTGAAATTGAAGATTATGCTTAAATAGAGAAAATTAAGTAAGTTTTATCGAAATATTGGTTGATATGGACTAATTTATCTGAATATTTAGTAAGAAAAAAATATATATCTGGGTTATTTAATAGTTGAATTCATGAGTCAATTAAAGTTAGACCACCATGGAAAACCTCTCGCGAGGCGGGATCGTGGGTGCGCACTGCTGAGGAGTACCACAATAGGACGAGTTGGCCGTCCAGTGCCTGCAGGTTTTCCAAGGTTGTCTAGTTTCAATTGACTCATGATCTCAACTATATAATATTACTAAAATCTCCAAAAAACTCTCTTCTGTTCTTGAACTAATTGCTAACTAATATTCTGAGTTACTGACTATGCAAATCATATTTGGAAAGTGAACTAACTGAGGGATATTCTCCATTTGTCAATTAATTACCTGTATGTATAAGTAATATTAAGTCAAGTAGTAAGTTAACCTGATAATTCAGTTTATACTTTGTTGACTGTTCAATGAACTATCCTATGATTATTATTTACATCTTAAATAAATTTTATTCATGGTTATTGGTATATCCCGAAGAGAATTATGAATGGTAAATTTAAAGGACTCTTTATGCAACAATATGATACGTATATTTCCTACTGTATAATCGTTAAGTAACTAAACTATTCGTATTCAAGTTCATTTTATTATAACCTTTTTTTGACCCATAGACTATTACTATGCGATTTACCATTCCTAAGTCATCCCCAGTCTATTAATTATTGTTCCCCACATTCACAGCCACAATTGGCTAAATCTTGTACTAATGTTATTTTCTAATTTATGGTGCGTTGTGGTTTGTTTTATTGGTATATAAACCCAGTATGTTTGAAATAAATGATTCATATTGTAGAGGCTGTTATTGGTGTTCTGTACTTCACTGACTGGGCTAGGCAGAAACCAGGACCCATAAGGACTCTAGGCTGCTCGTACGGGTTTCGTGTGTCATTGATGCGGTCGATAAATCCCTGCTCTCTAATTGGCGGAATCATCGCGTTATACACTAAAAAGGGCACACAAGATATAACAGTTATTTGATGTCAAATAGTTTTTTTTCATCGCTTTTCTACACAAAACAGTTTTTTCTCAATCGACCACTTCTTTACTCTCATATTCATTTATTAAAGATTTCGAGTCAGTAATTTCTGTTTTGTAAGCAGTCTACATTTAATCAAACTACATTCTATCAACTTATTTAAGTGATTACATAATCTTTTAATTAATGTACAACAATTCATCCTGTTATAATACAAAGTGAAAGATCAAGCCTTATCAGAATGATTAAATTATCAATCCTTATAAGATTATTATTCATATGATATTCAATTCTAGTTTATTTTTATTGTTTTATAAACTCAAATTATTAATGTCATATCACTATGAGCCAATCAAAAACCAATCGTAATTTCAAAATTCAACTCAAACTTATCTACCAATCATAATTATATAAGGCGAATATTGAACATTTCAAGTTTTTTGCCCCTATCTATCTTTAAATCTATACTATTTACTATTCTTAAGTATTATTATTATTTATTATTCATAAGTCCCCCTCTTATATTATTAAAAAAACACATTAGTTTCAATTCATATCTAATTTTACAATATCACTTGTGAAATAAGATTAATAAACTAATTGATATAGGTTTTCATTCGAAGAATGGATCATTCTGTATGTTATTTTCTCATTTTAAGTATCTGTATAACTTATCATCATTGTTTTACAATTGAAATGAATCCATATGGAAATTTTATGTATCCTTCATTATCGACCTCGTCATCATCATCATCATCATCATCATCATCGTCACCATCATCGGTATCGTCATCATCAGCAGCATCATTGCCAAAAGTGTTATTATCTCCATCATTACCTAAATCTCAATTGTCAATAGATGAATATCTTACATTAAATAATAAATTCAATGATGATGATTCATTCAATCCATATTCGGATTATCGTTCTAATTATTACAATGATTATTATTATTATAATCATCATCCAAAAATGTCGAAACGTGCTGATTTAAGAGATTTATCAATCCATAGTGATATGGCTTTTATACGTAAATTATTCGATCAAAAAAATCATGAATTATTAAGACTTGGATAAGTTTGTGAAATAAAAAAAATCATAAAAATTTAATTAATTAATTATTATATTTGATTTAATTGTTGTTTTAATAAACTAACCATTAAAAGATATATAATTATATGTCATATTAATGTACTTTATAGAAATTTTAACCAATAAAAATTCGAATAAAATTTAAAATAAAATTGGCGGGAATTTGTTTTTTAAAAAAACATTTCCACTCATCTACTAATTAATTCTATAGTTATTAATGTATAGGTTCTAAAGAAATTTCTTCATATCTTATTAGAAGATTATGTAACGGGAAGTTAGTTGTATCAATGATAAAACAAAATTATCAGAATGGGTTTTGTGGAGATTTCAGTATTTTCATAGTTGCAAACGTGAGTCAACTGAAGCTAGACCACCAAAGAAAACCTGAAAGCACTGGACGACCATTTCATCCTATTGTGGGACTCCTCACTAGTGACTGACTTCGAGAGATAAATGCTGGAGTTCTAGTGAGAAGCAGTGACTAGTGGAGTTCAAACCACGTCTGTTGTGAGATAGGAATTCACTGAAGACAATTGGTGAACGGTCGCTTATTTTCGTGGATTGATTGAACTTAGACATAAACAGCATCGGATGTCGGCTGGCTCAGTGGTCTATCGGTTAAGTGCTCTAGCGCGAGACTGGTAGGTCCTGGGTTCGAATCTCGCGAGACGAGATCGTGGGTGCGCACTTCTGAAGAATCCCACAGTAGGACGAAACGGCCATCCAGTGCTTCCTGGTTTCCCATGGTGGTCTAGCTTCAATTGACTGACGCTTGCAACTATGAAGATAAAACAAAAGTATCTCGTCAAACTTGGTTGGTTCGTTTTACGAGAAGTGAGTATTTTTCGTATTATTATTTTAATAAGCTGAAATTCTATACTGGTCAAATGTTTTAAACTAGAAGAAAAGCTATCAAGTGCCTCTTAATTATTTATAATAAATGTTTTGTAAACAATAGACTGCGAATAATAAGGTTTGAAGTCATGGGGATATTGAGTGTAGCGCACACAGATAGGTTGGGTGCATAACATAGATATAATTAAAGTTAGGACTGTAAAATCAAAATTCTTCACTAAGCAATAATTACTCATTGAATGAATGAAAAAGTGATCAAAGTGCTGAGTACGATACGTACCGGACATGAAAATAATGCGACTAACCTTAATCGAGCAATTACATATTAATGATTAATTATTGCATACACAAAGATCTCTTTTAAATTAAAGAAAGTTGATATCAGTTTGACAGTTGAATGATTAGTTGATGAAGAGAAATTTTCTGTTTATTTTTCTGTTTCTAACTTCAATTAATATTGTATTGGATTATCTTCAAGATAATTTCGTATGTCAATTGTCCTGACAACCGTTATGAAACTAATATCAACAGTGTATAAATTTCAGAAGACAATACGATGTGTCGACTACAGATTATTAATAAACAGCCACGTTAATAAGCCACAATCTCGCAAGGCGAATTTGAGCAGAAATGCTAATGAGAGCGAAAAAATACAGAAACGAATTAAGAGATGAACGAATTAATAAGACGAAGATTCATCAAACGATTTCAACAACTAATATATGAGCTAGTAAGTGGGACGTGTTACACGTGATCAATCACACGAACATGTTATTAGCACTAACACAATGATATAAAATTGTTACTATTGCCACGTTGACTGGTGAATAAGTTGATTGTAGGGTTTCACTGGATAAAACGTAAGCAGACTTAAGTGCAGGTGAGGTACTATAATACTATGTATTACATAGTAAAAAGTTGAAGAACACATCGAGGCAAAATGCATTTTGTATGTAAGTGTGAATATTAACATTTTTACCATTTAAATCGTAGCAAACAACCGAGTTTCAACTTGTTATCCGTTATTGATGTAATTATAACTATTACCAAGTTACGTATTGTACTTGCTATTTTGCTTATACAATAAATTTTGCCAGCACAATTAAATGATAATTAGATCTCCATGTTGAGAAAATCATATCGTCCTAATTATATCAGTGAATATTTGTTTGAAACTAACATAAAAATGATAATTTAGCACTGAATGTTACGAGTAAAAGGTAACAATGTGTAGCCTTAATTATTACAGTAATTATCAAAAGGGGTTTAGCGGAGATTTCAATAATTTTATAGAGTTGAGATCATGAGTAAATTGAAGCAAGACCACCATGGAAAACCTGGAATTTCGCAAGGCGGGATCGTGGATGCGCAGTGGTGAGAAGTCTCACAATAGGATGAAATGACCGTCCAGTGCTTCTAGGTTTTCCATGGTGGTCTAGCTTCAATTGATTCATGATCTCAACTCTCTAATATTACAGTAATTACCAATAAGTATGAACAAAATAAAGAACACAATGACAATCTAATCGAAATACAAAATACCACTTTATATCTCATAATTAATCCCATTTTAAATATTTTAAGTTCTAATGACTCTGAAGATAACCATAGTCATTAAAATGGATTTATGCCATCTAAGTAGATGGGGAGGGATCTTTAAACGATTAAGTAGAATGTCTTTTATTGCTATCAAATAAAAAGTCAAACATTTAACTTAAATCTAACTTTTGTGGAGATTACAATACTTGCCATTTTGACAAATCTTATTATTTCAAGTCAACAAAATCCGACTAATTGTTTTCTCTAACTTGAATAGTTAATTAGGCATCATATAATAATTATGTAATCAGATTACATTTCTGTAACTTGAATGAATTAGGATTAGTAAAAGAGTAGTCTCCTTCTAGTGAATAAGTCTTTTAACTTGTCAGAAGATTGTAGCAACTAATTTTCACTTTTAATCATAATACTTTGAGACAAAGTTTCTAACTGAATTTTCGATTATAAACTTATTCATCTTTTCGACTATCTACTCATTTCGATGTATATTAATACAATTGAAGAATCTTACTATCACTATGATTTTCATAAAATTGGTATTAACTAGATACATATAAAAATTTATTCTGTTTAAAATGTACTGTATCAATGATATGATTAATGAACTATTTATCTAAATGAACTTTAATAATAAAGTATATCTAGGATGCGTACTGCTGAGGAGTTCTACGATAGGACGAAACAGTCGTCCAGTGCTTACAGGTTTTTCATGGTGAACTCGTGGTTTCATCTATAAAACTGCTGAAGTCTCCACAATACAACCCCTTATTATAATTTACTTTCTAAAAATATGTATTAACAATGACAAAGAGTCAGTATTTACAATTTATTATTGATTCATTGAATAGAAAAACAATCGTATTATAATAATAAAATAAGACGAATGACCTAGACAAATTTATTTTATTTATTTATAATGAGATTATATTTAAAAATAAACAAACAAAATCTGTTTCAAATTTTTCATTTTTCTTTAAAACTGATTTTTAAAAAAAACTTTTACAAAGTACTCGATAGTCATTTGAATAAACGATTTAATCCAAAAAAAATACAAAAAACAATTTATTCAGTAAACGGGTTCTTTTGAATGAATTCATTTTCAAAATTGTACAAACGTATTTAGTTAGATGTGATAAATGAAAGGTCAATGAATAAGTCATATGTCTATTAGAATTTGATTAGTTGTTATGTGAAATTTGACTAGAGTATCTTAAATAAATAGTTGAAGTTAGACATTAACACCGTTGGATGATGACTTAGTGGTCTAGAGGTTAAGTGTTCGCGTGCGAGACTGATAGGTTGTGGGTTCGAATTTCACGAGACGGGATCGTGGATATGCACTGCTGAGGAGTCCTACAATAGAACAAAACGGTCATTCAGTGCTTCCAGGTTTTCCATGGTAGTCTAGCTTCAATTGACTCATGAATTAAATTATTAAATAAATAATTATTGAAAGAGAAAATTTATGAAATATGAAAAATATACTTTATATGAATATTTGTCAATATATGAACGAATAGTTTGACAGAAATTGGGTGCTGAGTATATGGAAGACATTATTTGTGAAAGTATTATGGTTGTAATGATCTAATTAATTGGAATTTAAATAATTCCAACGTTTCTTTCGACAAAATTATCTGAACGAAACATTCGAACTATTTCAACTATAATACTTTCACAAATAATAGGAAATATATCACCAATCAAATGAACAGAATAACCATGACTACTATTAGGTTAAAATGATGACATAATCAAATGGTTTGAGTAGAAAAACTGTGTAATTGTGTAATTGTGGAATGTAAGTAATTACTAAGCCAATATGATGATTAAAATATAGTATTAATCAATCTACTATTAAATGAACTTAATCCTGTTTAAATAATTCTAAACATTCACTTCATTTGGTTGCCGTTAACCTTATATGAATATACAAGTAACACTTTTATAATGAATAAGTTTTCTATTAAATGTTTGATCATTTGAAATGGTTGAGTAAAATTCAAACCATAACAATTAAAGCCTCGATAGTACGGAACGAAAGATAAAAAGAACACATTAAAACTGGCTGGTAAAATCTAGTTAGTTCTTTTCAATTTTCAAAATGACAATTATATATATTATTAGTATTAGCTTTATTCAATATTATGTTTTCGGTACAATATAGAATTCTCAGCACAAAGTATTTCAAAAAGTTTCTGTTTCTTACTTCTTCGTCGACCCTGACGATAAATATTGAGTAATCGTCAGTTAGAGGTTAGCAGTCCAGTTCATTAACATCTGAATAATGTACATTCTTTTCGGTGTATACTGCCAGAAACCACGATATCTCTGATTAGGCCTTTTGTAACCTTTAAAGCAAAAGGTTGTATCCTTTTTCATAAAGGCACCTGAATAGGTTGTGTGATTAATAGCCATAATGATGTATTAAAACGAACAAAATTAGATAAGTGGTTGAAATATATTGATGACAGGAACAGGTAGCCCAGATGTTTAAGCAGGCCACCTAGGATACAATTCAAGCTTACAGACAGTAAAATTTAATTGAATGCAATAATGAACTTACAACAAATAAACTTTCTAAATTATAAATCAATCAGTTTTCTATTCACTATGATGATGACCAAGGCATTTTGCTTTTTTTAACTGTTTATTTAGAAAAGCTGTTTTACTTCTAAACATTTGGTATCTAAATATTTGTGTATTGGTTAGCGTTTTTTAGCGAGTTAGTTT